GGGGGGGGGGGGGGGGGGGGTGCGAGCGATGAGGGGTAGAACGGCATTGGAGATGGGCGGGGGCGGGAGGTTGCTGGGTAACCTCGTTGCTATGCGTGGTTCTGGTCTCCAGGCCGTAGGCCGCGGGGTCTCCTTAAAACCCGGACGGAGCTCGACCTGTTAGCCGCGGGAGGGCTCGCAGAGTGAAAGGGTAGGAGGAGTTCAATGTCCTGGAACAGGGGTTGTTTCAGGGACCTGATCGTCAATGCTATAGGATCTGCCTGTTTTCCTTAAACATTTCCTTCAAGTAGCGCACTCAGTTTAGACATCTGGACGTGTGCCCCTCAGCTTGTCGCCTCTGTCATCGTGAAGGTGCGGCTGCGCAAGCAAGCCATGCCATCAAAATAGTTCTGTAAACTGAACCGGGTGCACAAAGACTTGAAACGCGAAACGATTTGGAGCGTATGGGGTGACACTGCCCCCCTGTGCTTAGAATTTTCGGTCTTCAGAATTAGAGCTATACGGGACCGGCGAGAAATCATGCTTGACAGTGATGCACACGGAGTGTCGGAGCATTGGTGTCAAAATTGTCGAGATACTCGTGGAAGAGTATGCGAAACGTGAAGTGCCTTCGTGCAGCTTCGTTTTCGAGCCACAACGAACGTACTTGTCTGTTGGTCTCTTGCAGCTTGTCGACACTGCCCTCGTGAAGGTCCGCCTGCGCTAGCGTCCGAGCCTCCAGGTGATCGAAGCGAGCCTGAATCAACTGCGCTTTGGCCTGCGAATAAACAACGCACAGCACCGTTCTCAGCTATAGCGCGGAGTCCACGGAGTTGAGGCTGTTCGCGTGGAAGGGGAAAGAGGGATACGCAATAATACCACGTCCCCATAGTTCTTGCGCTGGTGGAGCTGGTGCAGCACTATTGTCGAGATGGCATAGTCGTCCCTGACACATGAATAGTCATAGCGGTGTGCGTGGGGCAAAGCCCCCATGACCATGTACCTGGCATGGCCATTGTTTCCTCACCAAGCCTTCGGTAGGCAATGCCATGGAAACAGTTGCTGCTTGCGAGATACTTGCCGTCGGCATCGATATTATCAAGGATAAGGGCCTATCCGTCAACTTTTGTCACTCCAAAGAACACGTTGACCGATACCTTCGTAACACTCTAATGAGGGCGGCGAGATCTGCGACGTTCCGTACGTAGTCAGGCCTGCGATGGATGGTCTTTCCTCCAGCAGGATTCAATCGCCGACTGGCACATCAAACAATAAGCACCACCACCTGTTGTCGACTCGCTCGTTTCCCCCCCTACGCGAACGAAAATTTGGATTGTGTTACCGCTAAGCGCGAAAAGGCCGCATCCTGAGGCTAATTTCCCGTGTTTCTTGAATACGATTGAAGAAACGTCTTGAAGTGGGAGCATTTCTGTGCGTTATCAGCTTGGCGCTACATCCACAAAGGGCAAGTGTGCAGCTGTTGGGATGTTGCCACGCGCATGATATAACGACGGTTACAGGGGTTAGGCGTTTACCTGCGCCTCCCGAAGCTCCCTGTGCAGGGTTTCCACTTCCTCCTGACTGCGTCCCCGTCCCCCCGGAGGTTCACGGTGCGCGGCGGCCGCGGCAGCCATGGCCTGCTCGTGGGCATCCTCGGGGGCGCATCCCGCGTCCAGCTGTTTCCGGTCACGCACAATCCAAAGGGCATAGTTTTCGTTTCCGCCAAACGTTGTGCGCGCGGGAGCGTGGGGCGGGAGCGCGGAGGCGGGTTGGCATTGTTTCGTTGCGACTGTGTTTCTGGGAAGCCTCAGTTCAGAATCAAGGCGCAAACATTGCTGTATTGCAGTCAAGGCAAAGATTGCTGGATGGTTAGTTTCGAGCTAGCGTGGGCCTACTCCATGACTACTCAACTTGAATCTTGCGTGTGTCAATTGGTTTAGACTTCCATTCAAGCTACCGTCATCGTTGTTATAGTCTGCTGCTTTTCTGTAGACGGCATGTGCGTTGACTTCTTTCTTCCCCGGTTCCGGTTCATTCGACGAGAGACCCTCCAGAAGGGTGGCGTGCTACGCCGAACGCTAAAGAATAGACAATTTTAGGCAGCCGACGCCGCGTTCTGCTTCCAACACTGTTCATGAAACGCATTCTGCTTCCAACACTTTTCAAGAACGGCCTCGGCTCCGAAGTCACTGGAACACTCAGGTGACTGTTGCCGACGCGCTGCGGGACAAGCAATGAGTGCCCCCCGGGCTCATGATTCTTTCGCTTTCCGCACACCTTGTCTTGCCGAAGCCGCTGGTTCTCGGCCTTAACCCCCTTGAGCTGCTCCTCGGCGCTCGAGACCCGTTGCCGAAGCTTGTCCACCAGTTCGCTGAGCTGATCAGGGGAGGACAAACGCGACCAATCGATTGTCTCGAACCAGTACGAGTACAGTATTTGGAATTAAATCTACGAGGGCAAGACAGTGTTGGTCGCTGCCTGCTAACTTGACGGCTACGAGTCTTCTGACGTGCACGCGAGCTTTGAGTGCCATGTCCGGAAAAAATGTGGTTGTTTCTTGCGCTAGCGCTAGCCTGAGCGAAATCAAACGGGGAACGAAGGCCAAACCTATCTCCTTTCGTGGTTTCATCTCTTTTCGTACCAGGGACACATACCGGACCGACACACTGTATTTGCGTTGAAGACGGCTCTCTACATAGAGCTTGGATGTGGACCGCTGACGTCTGGGATAACGAAAAAATGGAACCACACCTAACCTTTCGATCATCCCTCCGTCTTGTCGCTCCCATGTCCATGTCGTCGGCGGAACGCTTTTTCGATAGCTGGAAAAAAGTTTGAGAATCGGAAAGGTTTCAAAACACGCCAAGACCCGCATGTCAAGTGAGGGCAGAAGTTGGGGTCATACGAGAGCAGGAGTCGGATATCGCCAGGAAATCATTTCGCTTCGGGCGCTTTGAGTGAAAGTCCCAAGTGTAGCCAGCAATAAACCAATATTGCACCATGAGACGCGGGACATCTGTTGAAACGCAGAGCATGACTGCTGTAGGATGTGTGTAGTAAGAGAGATGCAGCTGTATTATTGCTGTATGCAATCATACGTCGATGCGTTGTACTACGTAGGTAACGTTTGGTAGAACGTAACATATAGTGACGAATTAAAGCGAGGAGCTCGCGTATGAATTGATAGTTTATCGGAGGAGATCGTAATTGTAGCGCGATCACGAGGTGTTGCGAGCCCCACCAGGCTATTTCCCACCTATCCCTCAACATCTCAACTCTGCAAGCAAGCTGTAAAGTGAACAAGACGGAAAGGAAGTAAGAACTCCACAAGCGGCATCTAGCAACAATATCGACTTCGGTCACTACCTCAATAGACTTCTGTCTGAACAACACACAGACGTCTGTCTGAAACTGCACAAAGGTTTGACCGCCTCCAGACGACCCTTGGGTACAGGGCACCTCGACACTACATATTTCTACAACATCTTCCTCTTCTTCCGACACCGGTCACGTCTTTATGTCCTCTGGGTGTTGGCCACTTCCCTTAGGCTTTTAGTAGGCCGGTGGTCTCTTCATCTCTTCATCAACTATGAAATCTCGTGTATGCAATAGCACAGGTGAAAATTCAGGCAAGCACAGAACACCGCTTCTGTGGGTGCCGTCAAACGTACACCGGCCCGGTGCTTTGCAAGCCCAAACTGCATTTCCGCGTGAATGCTGTTGGAACTTCCGGGACAAAAAACAAATACGACAGCAACGGGAAACAGCAACAGCAACCAGGACGACATCGACGACGGCGACAAGGACGACAATCAGCTGTTCGAAATGCCAACCGCCAAAACATACCTGAACGTGTCGGCTTCGCATTCCGACGGACCGCGCCGCGGGACACGGGCTACGAGGGCCCGGCGGCCCGGCCCCCACCGCTCTCGTCCTCGCCAGCCTCGCGGCGACCAGTTCCTTCTTCTTTTTGGACAGGGCATCGTTGAGGGACTGTGCGTGCGCGCGGTAAGGTGGACAGCAGAAGAGCACTGCTTGAGGTCATGATATGCTTTCTCTGCTGCTGAATTGTGTGTTTGAGGCATTGGTACGATTGGCCCCAGCACCGCAGCCTATTCTGCGCAGCCTACTGGTTGTGCCGCAGATGTTTTCGCTTTGCGATGAGACCTTGGAATCGCAATAATTGAGGGCGGTCTCCACCACGGACCACGACGTTTTTCTCTGCTTGTTTTGGGCAGCAGACAAGAGATCGAAGGCAGAGTCACGGGTGCCCTTCCCTAGTCATACTACATTTGGCGAAGGCGCACCAGCGATAGCAAAATTACCCCGCCGTCCGGCACTCCTGGGTGGTAAGCGGGAGATACACTAAATAGGAGCGAGCACCATCGTGTTAGTAGGGTAACACGTTGTTGTCATCGGCGAGAGCAGGCTGCGTCACCTTGATCTTCGTCTTTAGGTCCCCGTTCTCCCGCAGAAGGACGCTGTTGTAGCGATGCAGCTCCTCCACGAGCTGCTCGTTCTCCCTGTTGCGAGGGTGACCGATGCCGCCAACGTCAGCGCCACCGCCCCCGCCGGCCGACGGCGCACCGCGTTGGTCGTTTCCGCCGTTGTTCTCCAACCGATACTTGAGCTTGAGGCTCTTTTCGATCTGGGAAAGCTTTGTATTCATCCTGGATTTTGAGAAAATATTCGCAACAGCAACACGTAGCAGTTCGTACAGGGTGGGCGAAAAGGGTGGCGGTGGTGACCGTGTTGGTGACTGATACAAGAGTCGGCCGTCAGTGAACGTACAGTGATCTTGGTTTTAATCTCAATCTACGGGGGCTCCGGGGGCTGTGCAGTCGACGCATCGTGTCTTTGGGCCAAAGGGTTTAGGGTACCACAGACCAAGAGAGACGCTAATTAGACATTTTCGTGTTCCTTCAAGCTACAGTATGATCGACCGTCTTAACGGTGGTAGGTACAAGTCTAGGCATGAGAAATCGAGGGCACCAAAGCTTCGTTTTTCAGTGATGGATCATCGAGTGTCATAAATACCGGTTGCGACCGGGGGGAAATCTAGAAATGTGGTATCTGTAGACACTGATGATGTTGCGACAAGCTCTGAGGTTCTCTACAACGTTGCTCATTCGACTATTGAAGTCGACTGCCTTCGGTGTAGACAACGGTATATACCATCCGGTGGGTACAGCATACCATGCCATTATATGTACGTACTTGAATAATAACAAGCGTACCCGCTGGATTCATGTACCAGAACTGCAACATTCCTTGCGCACTCTTGTTTGTTATGCATGTCGCCATGTATCGTCAATCGTACATGAAGAGATCACGGTACACCACAAGATACGGCTTGTCCCACCGTCGAATAGTATCATCTTGCTCGTTAGCCTTGTGCGTGAGAGACGTGTGGTCGTCCCGCAGCCGCAAGTACTTCTCCTCCCACGTCAAGCCTTCCATGGCGCTCGAGGTACCGATAGCTTCTTTCCATTCGCGGCCTATTGTACCCTCGCAGTGTTTAGCTCATCGAACAGCATGTTGCGTGCTGTAGTCTAGACTCCAAACTGTTTCCTGGGTACGATTTCGAGAGCAAGAAGGTCCACGTACAAAATCCAGGTGCATATTGCACAATATACGCCGATAATGGTGATGTCAGGGACAGAGCGAAAGTAGCAACGTGGCATCAGAGCGTGCGGTACGGCAGAGTATCTTTGCACAAGCCATCGCGACGCCGGCGGGTAATTTGCGCCCGCACAAAATTCATGTTCTTCACAGCAGTCGAGGCATTATACTCCATCATTGAGCATCCAGCGCATCTTGGCGAGGGCTGAAACACCGACCAAAGGGCAAGACCTTTCGGTAGTCAACAGCATACCTGTTGATCCGGTTGCTGGCAACGGCTGTCATCGCCAAGTGTGTGTGCGCGGCTCTCAAAAGGCGGCAAACCAAACCGCGCGCGCGGGGGATGGCACTGCCGCTGGAACCGATGGAAACCCCAAATCTTGGAGAACCAAGAACGCCCCGCCCGCGCCATCCGCGACCCCTTTGCACGCGCCACTCTCCCGTTTCCACGCCAACAAGGCGAGCTCCAGCGATGGCTCTCTCTTATCTTCGTGTTGTCCTTCTTCTTGGGTTTCACCTGACAGGAGGAATACAGGCGTTCATGACGACTGGAGCCGGGATCGTGCGGGTGAGTCCGTGGCAATCACAGGTGGCGGTGCTTTCGTCTCCGTCTCATGCACGCAGCAACATCTGCTGTGCGGATACATGGCCTGTGCCTTTTGCAGAAGGGTCGAGGCTTCCGCGTCGGCTGGTGTTGTTAGCTCAGGGAGTGACGCTTGATCGGCTTCATCGCGCCCGTTTGCCTACTGGTGGTACTTGCTACAAGCAAGCGTACGTAGCTGCAGCAAGCGTTTGGTATATATGCATACCACACGACGTTACGTCCATGGCACGAGGCTCTTGTTCGGTTGGCACGGCTGTGTGCTGCTGCCCAGCGCCGATGCGTGCTGCCACCGTGGTGCACACAGCAGCACAGCGGTCTGCGCCCGGCGTGCTTCCTTGTGTGGCACTTCCGCCGGTAACAGTTTTACATGGTGGTGTTGAGCGACGAGTTTAGACTACGATGCGGTCTGGGAAGGAAGGTCGTACTTGTTCACATGTTTCTTTTTTGCGGTTGCACCTCTTTTAGCTCCCCAGATTAGAAGACAGTAGTTGTTTTGCTGTGCCCGGTAAAGACAGCAGTGCTCCTACCACCAGTGCATAGGTAAGTGTGTGTGTGTTCTGGTTCCAGAACGTTTGACATTGTTGTACATATATTGTATCAACTATTTTCATGTCTGAGCTATGTAGTACAAACAAGGGAGACCTTCTGCCCCGCCGCCCGTTCCCTGTGGCCAAGGAACCGCCGCTTGTCGTCCTCTGGGCCAATCAGAATCGTCCCTGATCGCATTTGACAGTCACTTTCATGCTGGGCGCCAAGATCTCTTCTTTTCCGACTTCTGCACTTTTGCGCCCGCTCTTCTTGGATCACCCAAACGTGTTCAACTCATGCGAGACACGGGGACGGACGGGTGGTGTTCTTCGTGCCATCAACCGCCTGGTCATTTTAGATGGTTGTATTTTCGTATTTTCGGAGACTTTCGAATATGAACGGCTTCCGGTCGAAGCTACGATGTACGTAGGTGCAAGACTTTGCTACACATACCTTTGTGCGATTGACTTCTTCCTGAGCATCTCATGGTAACATTTCGAGTCCCGCATTTTCGCTACGCCCAGCCGTCCGCCCGTCGATGTGTCGGTTGTAACAAGATACCTAATAATTCGAAGTTTTAAGATTCAAATGTGCACCGCTGGCTGGGACCGCCATCGCGCGATCAATAAGTTTATGAGGAGTTAGAACAGGGAGGAGGGACACACAGACCCTATTCCCTAACCCTATCCCTAACCCGACTTCCCCGATTGTATGCTTTTTCCAACATGTTTACTTAACCCCTTTGGGTCTAGGCTGGACTTGTCAGATTTTTTTTTTTGCGCCAAAAAAAAAAATGAGAGCGAGAGCGAGCGGGAGAGAAGTGCAGAGAAAGACACCAGTGTACTTCTGCACACGCAACAGCTATCTCCACCTGTAGGCCATGAGGGAAGCCGGCGACAGGGTGGTGGCCACAGACAGGGTCGTAGAAGGGTTGATTGGTGGTCGCGCTGCGGTCAGTAGGGCAGGTTAGCTGTGTAGACTTTGAAATGATCAGTCGTCTAGCTGCCTCAACTAGTCTATTTTCGGTATAATATTGTAAATGATCAGTCCAGAGAGGGCAAAATGATCAGTGAAGACCCATAGCTGGTATTTGTACTTCTGTACTTCTCTGTCCTCTGTCCCCCCCCGAAATATGCCCTGCCAGCTCTCTAGAGCTCCTGTAATTTTCAAACAAGCACATCCACCCGCACACACCCGTGCCTCGTGGTTTCCTAGGTACGGGCGAGGGTGGTATGTGTGGCGCTACGAGTGTGGATGTGTTGCTGATATGTTTTACTCGTCTACAGCAGTGGTAGTAGTGTTGTTGTAGCATTCGTTGTAGCTCCTGACACAATGACTGCTCGATCTTGGGAACGATTTTCAAATTGTTGGGAACCACGATATCCTCGATATCTGTGGGCTCCGGCAGGGCTTGCAATACCCCTCCCTTTGGCTGCCCTCTGCTCTTTGCAGCAGTGGCTTCCTACGTTCGGGCGAATGTATGTGTGGTGCTGCGAAAGAACACACATGTATGTATGTATGTATGCACACACGCGTTCATGTACATACGTTAAGAGATTCATGATTTGGCATATTGATTAGCCCCATTCCCGAGACCTTGATATTACCCGCTGTCACTTACGTCTCTTCATTGGTCAGCTGGTTAGCGCGGGTGCTAATAATCTAGACACACCTACCTATGGACTTGCCAATGCACGGCGCGAAGGGCTGCAGGGCGGCAACTCCACGACTTGTCACTACACCAGCATTTGCAAATGATCAATCAATGATCAGTGAGAACGCCTGAAGACTCAAAAGGGTTAGTACAAAAAGCTTGCGAAGGATACTGACTGGCTGCATACACAGGCAAACATTCTCCACCATATTCGGAACGGCACAGCAGTGCCCTGTCTCCTGTCTCACTTGACGATGTGCTCCCTCAACTGCCTCCCGACACGAAAACCAAGCAAGCGAGTTGTAAGATGTACGTATTTCCCCCGTCCCGACCTAAATTCGCAGCAGCACCGACAGGCACCATTCACAACCGCTAGCGGCCTGGGTCGAGCATCTACGCCGCTCTCCATGGGAGCGGCCGGAGCGGAAACGAAGCCGGTGCGGGTGGCCATCCTGGGGGCCTCCGGCTACACGGGGGCGGAGCTGGTGCGGCTGCTGCTGGGCCACACCGGAGTGGAGATCACCGTGCTCACTGGGAACACCCAGGCCGGGCAGGAGTTCTCGGCGGTTTACCCCCAGTTCCACTACGCCAAGGTGAGCGAAGAAGCAGCAGTATTGGAGCGTTGACATAGATGGCTTGTCGCTGGCGCGAACAGGTGTTTCTTCCCGCCTCCCTCTCTCCGTCCCTCCCTCCGTCCTCCCTTGCACACGCTTGTCTGTCTTCGTGGAGACAAATGTACTCAAGCACTTTTTGTGTTTGTGCTCGAGTGGAAAGGCGTGCACGCTGCTATGTAGGCGCCTTGATGTGCTCGTGCAATTTTGACGGTCCCTTTTTTTTGCTGTTGTCTTGTGTATGTATGTGTGCGTGTGTGAGAGAGAGAGAGAGTAGGCGGAGCGAACAGAATCCCACAACTGGGCAGGCTTCTTCCTCTGTTCACGGTCTGCTCTCGATGAAAATGTTCTGCCCCAGGGTGAAAGGAAGCAATGTGCTGTGCGTACACACCAGCAGTGACTAAGGCTAAACGACGAAACGGCAGTGGCTGCATCTTGGCAACACAACAACCACTTTGTGTATCAAGGGGTGGAGACAAAGCGTGGTCGGAACCTACTGTGCGTCTCCAGAAATAAGAAAGACAAGTATCGTAGCGGGTAGGGGTAGTGCTGTATGCGGCCCGCCGCGACGGAAATGTGTGCGGCGTCGACAAGGCATGCCGACCGTCGCCCGTAGCGTAGCGAATGTGAAGTCACGCCTTCGACATTGAACGTATCCTGTGTGCTAAGTGCTAGCCGGAATAGGCCGCGCCCCAGGAGTCCCCTTCGGACGGAGATGGTGGGCCCCGGCTTACACAGGCAAGAGGTGTAGGCGTATGCACGTGGCCCCTGGCCTCGGAGGAGTGTGCATATGGGTCATGACGGTACGCCGTGTTCCCTGGAGATGAACTCCTGCGCCCAACCGCTGTAAATGTGTGTGTATGTGTTGTTCTTTCTCGAAACTGCATGGACCGCTGTAGCCGGTTGACCAATGGTCAACACGACGCCAGTCTAAAGTGCAGCTAAAAACAGCGAGCGCTTCTAGAGGTCATGGTCTGGGGTCAGGGGGGAGGGAGGCTAAGTAATTCTCCGGACTAAGAACAGCAAAGGTGTGTGCGTGCAAGAACAGCGATTGTTGGAAGTGTGCATTTCGTTCTGTTACTGCCTCTCAACGGGCTGGCTGGCATGTGCTCCTCGGTTGACTCCCTTTTGCGCTTTTTTTTTTTTGCCACTGGACGGACGGACAGGACCTGCCGGCGCTAACCCGGCACGAGGATCACGACTGGAAGGACGTGGACTGCGTCTTCTGCTGCCTGCCTCACGCCACCACGCAGGAGATCATCTCGCAGCTGCCGGAACACCTCAAGGTGAAAGGGGTGACGCGTTTTCCTTGCCTCCTTGCGCCTGCGGTTGGCGGGGGGGGGTCCAAAGCACAGTGCTCCCCGCGCTGCGTTTTGGGGCATTGGGCAGGGAGCAGGACACGTGCTTAGTAAGCACTTCAGCTGGCCGTTGATATCCGGAGACGGCTCGTTAGGGCACGAAATATCTCGGCATTTTCGGAGAAAACATCTTTTGAGCTTAGGAAGCAAGAGCCTGGAGCCTGAGGGACGGGGGGGGCGACGAAGGGAGAACCAACACACGTGGTTGATGCCCGAACCTCAGACATTCAGTGTCTGTGTCCGCGGAATCACGTACAACGCGTTGTTTGTCTCTGGGCTGATTGAGAAGGCTTCTCATTGTGCTCGGTGGCCGCCACCTGATTTTGTCGTAGCCGCGTGCAGCGCCTGGGAGCAAGAACGCGGGTGCATCGCAGAGACGATTTATCGTGAAATTCTCCGCGACGTGGGTACCGCAGAACCTCTTCTGTCTAGGGTATTGTTGCGGGCGCAGAGGCGCGCCGGCACGGCCAACCGGACGAACACACACGCCTACAAACCTGGGTTCACCATCGGCATGTACGCATCAGCAGCAGCAGCAGCAGTAGCAACGGTAGCACCGCAGGTATCTATTTCTGCCACAACAAGAACAACGATGACAGCATTGGCAAGAACGGAACATCAGCTAGTTAGGACATCGTCATTGTTTCTTGAGACGTTGGGTGGTTGGTGTTCGTCTCGGGGCTTGGTTGCTGTTGATTGCGTGCTATGAACACCTTTCCCCAACGTGTGCTGATGCTGTCGCCATGCTTTTGTTTTCTTGGTCAGTTTTGGACTTGCGCCCAGATGTGAATTGACCCGTGACCCGCTATCGCATCGAATTTCATGTTTCGTGTTCCCGCCGCGCTTCGGAATATTCCGCCGCAGATCGTCGACCTCTCGGCAGACTTTAGGCTCAAGGACATCGAGACTTACGCAGAGGTGAGAGATTGGCAGGGAAAATTCCAAGTAGTGAAGACGCCTCTCCTCCGGAGGGTCTCCCCGCTCCGAGGGACTACCTGCCTTCGAAGTCTTTCTAATGCCCCTGTTCCCTTTGTCTGGACCGTTCGTCACCTGCAGCACACGCACATACTCTCCGATATGTTGACTTGTTCTGGACCCGTGAACCCCGGCCTTCTTGTCCTCTCCATTGATTTTCTGAACACCCCCCCCCTCCCCCCGAGTCCTCCTCCGTGCCCCTTACAACGTCGACACGGCAACAACCTAGTGTTGACACGGGTCTTGCATCGTGTTTTTTTTTTTTTTTCAGTGGTACGGAGGCGAGCACAAGGCCCCCGCCCTGCAGGCCGAGGCTGTGTACGGCCTGACCGAGCTTGCCAGAGACGACGTGCGAGGCGCGCGGCTCGTGGCCAACCCGGGCTGCTACCCGACCGCGGCGCAGCTGCCGCTCATCGCCCTCCTCAAGGCCGGGCTCATCCTCAAGGACGACATCATCATCGACGCCAAGTCGGGGACCACCGGGGCCGGCCGCGCTCCGAAGCAGGGCACCCTGTTCTGCGAGGTGGGTATTTGTTGTCGTTGTTGTTGGTGGTGGTGGTGGTGCTGTTGTTGTTGCTGCTGCTGTTGTCGTTGCTGCTGCTGTTGCTGTTGCTGTTGTTGTTGTGCTCTCTTATTGTCGTTGTTGCGTCTCGGGGTGGGGCTCGTGCTTGTTGCTTTTGGGAGGTCCTTCTCGTCGTTCGGCTTTGCTGTTGATCGTCGCCCTCGCCCTCGTCGTTGTGGGCGGTTGAGGTTGCAAATGTTGTTGATAGCGGCTGAGTGTTGGACGAGGTGGGTGAAAGGCTTCTCACTTCATTTTTTCTCGATTTCTCTCTGACAGGCAAGCGAGCAACCGTGTTTTGCATGACTTGGCCTTGTTTCATGCGATTGTTTGCAGGCGCTTGGTACCGTTGCTGAATAGTCTCAAATAATCACCTTCTACCATTCTCGACGCTATCGATCCCATATGTTTTTATGTAAGTAGTTTTCATGTCCACAGTAGTTTCCGGCAGCCTGACTCGTCAACAATCGGTTCCGGCGACGTTCCTGTTGTCAAATAACGAAACGCCATGTATAGGTCTCGGACGGAATCAACGCTTATGGAGTGGCCTCCCACCGGCACGCGCCGGAGATCGAGCAGGGGCTTGGAGAGGCCTGCGGCAGCAAGGACGTCGTCGTTAACTTCACGCCGCACTTGATGCCCATGTCCAGAGGGATCCTTGAGGTGAGGTGTTTATTTATTTCTCCTCGGTCACGTGTTTCCTCTCCTCTCTTATTGTTATTGGGTTATTTTTTTGTGTGCGTGTGTGTGTGTGTGCGTGTGTGTGTGTTTCATGCTGGTGATGATGTTGACGGTGGATATTGATGAAGATTATGCTGTGTTCGTAAGCAGGTTATCTATGTCAAGCTAACGGAAGGCAGCCGTTGTTGTTGATATTGTTGTTGTTGTTGATGATGTTGTTGATGACGATGACGATGATGATGACGATGATGATGAGATGGTGATGATGAGGAGGATGTTCTCCCGGTTGCCGTGTGTGGGCGCAGACGATCTATGTCAAGCTGGCGGACGGTAGCACGGTGGAAGAAGCCAAGGCCGCGCTCGAAAAGGCGTACGCGGGGGAGCGGTTCGTGACCGTGTTGCCGGGAGCCGCGGTGCCGCACACGCGACACGTACGAGGAAGGTGGGCCCCATCAACTCTTTGCGGTGTTTAACATTATGTGGGGCCTTCGTTTTGTGTCGAGCATTTTCCCTCGTAGGCCCTCGTGCTGCGTTGCCGTGCAAGCGACTCGGCTCGTGGCAAGAAGTGAAAAATGCAGACCCCAGGGGCGAGATGGTTTGTAAACGCAACACAAAGCGCGTTGGTAAAAAAACACGTGCCAAGAATGAATCATCGCGCTGGCTTGGACTGGTCGTGTAGGATGATGTTGGTCTTTTGAACTGGCATGCTCATTGCGATTTTCATCCATTCCTGCGCGAAAATGTGCACCAGCCCGTATACTAACCTGAACTTGGAACAAAAACTGTGTGAATTTCCTCGTGACGGCCGTTACCCCCCCTCTCTGAGACACGCAATAACTCATGTACCCTCTCCTGCGCACCCCATACGCCCGCTCCTCCGTGCCATATGTATATTTTCATTGCGGTCTGGGATTAATCGCAAAACAGCAACCACGTGTTCATGAACATCGTAGCCGACCGCCTGCCGGGGAGGGCCGTGATCCTCGTGTCCATGGACAACCTCGTCAAGGGGGCTAGCGGGCAGGCGATACAGAACATGAACGTCATGTTCGACCTCCCGGAGACACAGGGCGTCGACATGGCACCGATGTTCCCATGATCGGTTTTGGCTTGTAGAATCTTGCGTGCGGCACGGCTTGTAGTATCTGCACACATCAAGGATTGTAGTATCTACGTAAGTCGGACAAACTTGAAAGCCTAGTGGGGCCGATTGGCGTAGAGGCATATCCGGACTTTTCGACGTCGAACAAAACTAGACATGCTTCATGGCGCCGATTCCCCATGCGTTGTCGACGCGCTTAAAGGCGGGATGGCGCTGGCATTCGGGATGGACGACAGCGGGGTGTATCCACAGGTGGACTGGGGTGGCTGGCCTTTAGCCGCGGGATCAATAGGATACGACCCAGGATTCCTAGCATGCTTCGCATGAGGCGCTGCACCGTTGGTTGGTTCGATTTTTCGATTGTGCTGGAGGCCTTGGAGGCTTGGTGTGGCGCTCTCCCCTCTCATGGTCAGGGGAGAAGACAGACGGATTCGCGTGGTTCATCGTAGGAATCCGATCGACGACGCATCGATGTGCCGTGGGCCCAAACAAACCCTTTTCTGATTTACTTTCCAGAGGGAACAGAAAGGGCGTGCCGTCTTTTTTGCTGGCCTCCAAAACGTGTGTATCTGTGTGTCTGAGTAGTTTCCGTAGGTTACAGAACACTTTGTCCAAAACTAGCCCCCTCTTTTGTCGTGTTGCTAATATAGGATGGACGCATGGCGTGGTTTTAGGGTGGGAAGGAACCGGTGTGTTTGTTCGGTGGCTTCAAGGCGTGAGACGACTCGTGACACGACACAGCAAAAATTGAACACAATATTTTCAACACACTATGTGGCCGCAAGGCCCGGTTGGCGGTAGAGAACAATACTAAATAGAACTTGAACACATTCTTTCCGCCCGACATTAAGCCTCAAAATGCCTTGCAAAAATTTCGCCGCAATGCGGTTTTTTAGGACGAGGGCGCTTTCTCTGCGACCTGTGCGAACCCGCCGCCCCGTTCACCCCCCTCGCCTGTAGCGGTAACCCCAAGGAAGAGGAGCACGAAGACCACTCCTACATCTAGCGGACACCGTTGGAAGAATCCTGCCTGTGACTCCTCATGTACATGCACCCTTGCATTCAGAAGTACCACAGGAAAATCGCGACAAACACGCAGCAAGCAGCAGCAGACGACCCTTCACGCGTGGCTTTTTCTGTTTTTTTAGGTTTGGAACGCCGATCCACCACACAACTTGTTGTTAAACAACGGTAAAGATTATTGTCGCCTTTAGCCCCGCCCGCCCGTCTCTCCGAAACGTGCGCCACTCTTGGCGGGGACAGCATTAATCCACTACCAGTACGATACAACCACACTCTTATGTACAAAGAGGAAACCAAGGCGCACAGCAAGTACCGGATTCCCCCGTGCCTTCTACCACAACGCCAAGTCACACACACATACGTCGCAGATACACCCACCACAAACGGTGGGAGGGCTCGATAAAATCGGATTTTGATCAGCACGTCACAACGCCCAGATGCTGGTTTGCACATGGCCTCTTCCGGTTGACCTCTGCCTCTACCCCCCCCCCCAAGGGAGCAAAGTCTATCGTGATCTCTCGGTCGTCCGGCAAAACGAGCGAAACTAAGGTCGGCCCGAGCTGGTGCCAACCAGTGCGTGTATGTCAATGCGACATGGAAGCGCAACGGCGGGCACATGTGGCGGTAATGCCTTCTACGGTCACCTTGCCGCCGATTCCGTGCAGAAAGAACGACAAGGAACGACAAAACAAACGTAGGTTGTCGCAGTGCGAAAAACACGTTCCACCGACCCCTCGGCGTCCACTTGGTAGCAGCGGAGGTGGCCGTATAGCGCCCTGTAAAAGGTGCACTCGGGTCGCGCTCTTTTTACGAGATTGCGGAACGTTCAAGCCCAACCGCGAGGCGCGACAACCCCCCCCTCACTACAATCTCGTCTCTCACCCAGCAAACACCCGCGTGCTGCCCACTACATTACTTCCCCCTGCCGATCATGCACGAACAGCCCAGCCCGTCGGGAGTTCGTGCCGCACTTTTCCTGCTTCGCCGGGAGATTCCAACGCCAGAACATCCGTCTGTGCGAAAGCGTTCGGGGTTGCACTACACACGCCTTCGGCGGGATTTCCAACTGTTTTTCGCCGTCTGAATAAGTACTGCCTTTTGCTAGTAGATACTTGTAGACAAAATCCCTGCTTCATGTCTTCCATCCCTTTTTTCGCTGGTGCTCCATGTACCGCACGTCTGTTTCGTGATTCCATCAAAAAGGGCAAAAAAAACGTGACACGTTGCAAACATGCAGGGCGATCGGGGCCGTCGGGAGGATGCAAGGGAAAAAAGGGCCTGAGACTCGGAAAAATGGTGTCCGGCAAACATGTTTCTCGCCCCCTACAGGTACCCACGTCAGTAGAGCGGAGGCGTGTACAAGGGCGGGTAACCTACGGACCGACATGCACAGAAACGCAGACAGGAGCGCACGCCGCTGACATAACTGCGCCCCTTGATGAACCTGCACGTTGACATAAGTGCACGGCTGCCCGCCGAAAGCCCATACGCACTGATGTGCAGGATCTGCTCTACGCCGTAGTCACGGGGCGGCCTGGGGCTGAGCGCTACGTACAACGGCGGGGAGAAAGCTCAATAGCCGCCTGTCTGTCGACCCCTACTCCGTATTTTCTTCTGCTTCCAATCGTACCGTAGTTGCGGACCCCGCTCTCTCACTGAAAAGTCCAGCCTGACTCACTTCCACCTCTCGTGTTGGCTGAAACCACCCAGCAACCAAAAAATAGACGGGGGCGTGCTTTCATGTTTTTCATGTCTTAACGGTTAGGTCATGAGGGGCGCGAAGAGATTTTGGGCCTCACGTAACAGCTTACACTGTGCCGCGCACTCACAGTCTCCCCAGATTTCGTTGTGGTTGACCTCGCCCGCGGCCGCCTTCTCGACGTCGAAACCCCGAGAGGAGTTCCCGGTCTCGGCCTTGGCGGGGTCTACCTTGACCGCGATTGGGCCCGAAGGAGGGGTTCGGTCCCCGTAGCGCTTCAGCAGCGCGGCCCTCTTCGCCGCCGCCTCGCCCAGAGCTTCTTCATCCTCCTCCCCGCCCTCGCCCCCTGCCGTGCCCCCTTCTGCTGGAGGGGCGGTAGCAAGGCCGCTTCGTATTGCCGTCGTTGCTGCTGGAGTCCTGCTGCTGCTGCGGGTCCGCGAATGAATGTGGGCGAGAGCGGGGGTAGCACATGAACGACACCGGAAAGCATGATGTGCACGAGGAGGTTGTGTTGGGTAAGGGTGGAGTCATATTCAGAGCGAAGGACCTTCTCGCGCTAAACTTGAAGGCGCATGTACCGCCGAGGAACTACTTCAATCTTCTGTTGTGGCCCGGTGGAAGGTACTGCAGGTCTTCGAAAGCGGCACGGCAGATACGCTACTTTGAGATTTGAGGGAAGGACGAAATTTGAAATTTGCTCTTTTGTTAAATGCACCAGGTTGTGTTTGGTAAGGTACAGGGATGAAAAAACATACCGAAGCGCACCGAGATTTCGGCAAGATATGGAAGCTTGTACCGAAGAGTACCAAGAATTTCGGTAGGGCGTGAAGCCTGTACCGAACCATACCGCTCGGTAGGGTATATCTGCCGGTACTGCTGTAGGTATGCCTCGGTATACGTACCCTCGAACACACCCTTTTTGTGTATAGGGTTGCTCGGTAGGGTATGAAAAACTTACCGAAGCGTTAACTATTCTTGGCAAGGTATGGAGGTCTATGCAGATCGTACCGAGATTTTCGGTACAAGTTATGGAAGCCTGTAGCACCGAGGAGCTCCGTAGAGTATACCACCAACGGTATTTCGCGAGGTATGCCTCGGGAAGTATGCATACCTTGCCGAACAAACCCTTTTTACCCTATCCGCCGAAACCCGAACCCGAACCCGAACGACACAGCGTCCTAACAAGGGTATATCTGCACCAGGTGGCCTTCATATTGCCTGTGCAACGCAAGCTTGAGTATGTACAACAAGAACGTTACGTGTGGTCGGGAAAATGAAGAAATCGGTGTTGTATACCATATGTAGTACTTGTATGCATACAAATGAAAATACCTGCTACAGGTCTACAAGGTGACACAAATATCCGTCTACACCGAAGTATCCACTGCTGAAGTTACTGAATAGAGTGCGGCGGCGGCATGCGCTACCCATGGACGGAGAGGTTCACAAGCAGATGACACACGCTATAGGCTGTATATTTCTCCTGACGACCCACGACTTCGGTCGAAGGGTCCGCTCGGCATCCAAGCACTTCGCGTCTCAGCAACTGCTGTCGTTCGCTGCTTACCTCTCTTTTTGGCCCTACTAAATAAGAGAGACGGCAAGCAACGCTTGCTGCTGACTACGTCATACACGTACAATACTTCCGAGGTTCAGCAGTTCAGCCGACGCAGGCAATACATTACCGCTGCAGCTCTCACCTTCTCCGCTGAGCAGCAACACTCTGGGACAACGCCGTTCTCCATAATAATCGGATGACTCCTGCTTCTCTCACCATGGCGTTCCTCACCACCTTGCTTGCTCTCTCCTCTCTGCTGCTGTGTGTGTGTGACAAAATGTGAGAAAGGAATGTGTGATCTACGAAGGTGCTACAGTAGAGCGCAGGGGGGCTCCGCGGGCAAGGTCTCCCAATCTCGCCGCATTGTTGTGGCGAATTTGTGCATAGTCCCTGCCCTACATATCAACACACTTTGGCATTAGCGGTACTATATATGGCATAGAGGCATGTGATACCATCTCCCAATCACCTCGTACAGTCAGTGTGCGCACGATACACTGGAAATACCCCCCCCGACAACAGCAGTGGTGTTACTTGCTCTTTTTGTGGACGCGTGTCGTCGCACGCCACAGCGGTGAACAACGCCAGCAGCAAGCACCACCGCGTGTGAAACGAGGGGTTGGAGAGCATGTCATCTCCACGGAAGCGGCACCGGAAGCCCACCACCCAACAGCCACAACCGGCTCCCAACGTTGCCAAGCGGATACACGTCTCTCTGGAAGAGGACAAGCCCATCGGGCTGGAGCTGGACTTTAGCGCTGAGGTAAGGGTGCATATTTTCTCCGCAGCGCACGTCGAGAACCACTGCTGCTGCTGCCGTGCTCTTGTCTTCGCAAGAACCAAAAAACGTGTGGTTTGCCCGCAGTTTCCAGTCGGTTTTCCCTCCACTCGCTGAAGAGTCTTCAGCACATCCCTTTCAGCTGTTGTTATATCTCTAACGGGTAGTCTTTCTGTGTTTTTATTATGCATGTGGGTAACTCGTAGCGAAGTAGACTATTTGCTAAAGAAGGAGCCAGCAACAATCGCACAGTCCCGTATTCAAAAATAACTTGCCACGAAAAGTCTGGGGGAATGAGGTCCATTTTACGGGGAGGATAGAGCTTGTTTACACAAAGGGGGATGTCTCATTTTGCTGCGCAGGGAATCGTAGACACACAGGTAGCGTGTCCGCTAGCGCCATAGGTTCATGCTAAATAGTTGTAATCCCGGACTCTTATTGTATCTGTGGGGATGAAATTCGTTGTGCATGTGGGGAAAAAAAGAAAAAACGATTACTCCGTGCTTTTACAGCTCTTCTGCATTAGAGGCACCCGTACATTGTACTTCCCAAACCTGGAAAATATAAAACACCCAAAACAAAAACACAAGCAACACCCCAAACCATTCCATACCAAGAGAACAACATCAATAATTGAAGCCCCATTCTAGTCGAGCCGCTGTCCAAGAAATCGTGCTTGGGCTGTTGGTTGTGTTCCGAAAAAAAAGTAGAACAACGCCTCTAGACTAACCAGAGGGACATTCTGTGAAGTTCGACGGTACGACTGGCCGAAGGAAATTGTTGCAAACAGCAAAAGACTTGTGTTTAGTCGTTTTCCCCACGTTTGTTGCATCCCAATTTGAACCCTATACCCTAAAAGCTGAACACCCAACACCCAACCCTAGACCACACTGACTGGCGACCACCAATTCCACCAAGTGTCCAGGCAAGTGTCGCAAAGGACATGGCATTGACCAAATGCAAAGAGACAAGTGTTAAAAAGGACAAGTAGCACGGAGCTCTGCTTTTGGAGGCAGCCTCCGAAACACCTATCGCCTATCCTCCGGCCGTGCGCAACTCTGTGGCCCCCACTGCGTTGTTAACGCTCGAGCATTCTCTGCCAATAGGATCACGTTCAGATTACGAGCAAAGGTGGAGAGGCACACCAGTCGCCCCGAGGAGTATTTGTCGTGGACAAGTTCTGCTGCAGTGGGCGTGATAGTCACCAAGAAGTAGGATGTGGGCATGTTCCCCACGTTTTGCTGGATCTACGGCCGGTCTTCACCAATTTTCATACGAGCGTTTTGTCGAATACATCAGCTGGGGTCACACGTAAGGGCAATGAAGGAACAAACAGGTGGGGTGGGGGTAGTGACGATGATCACCTCCCTGCCTTTTACTGCCCCTCAAGGGGTTGCGTCCGCTGTCCATCAACGCCCAAAGATAGCCTTCCCGCCCCGCCGACCTTCCCAGCGCCCCGCGCGCTGACCAACCGCACCCCACCATTGCTCGCGGATTTGTGCATTTCGCCAGGCGACAACAGGAGTACGCGTGTCTCATGTCAACGCTGGCGGCGCCGCGGAGAGCGAGGGGGTGGAACAAGAAGATCGGCTCATTCACGTTTCGTGAGTGAGAATTCGAGACAGCGCGAGCGGGAGTACGCTCGTATCCAAAGCCGGGTAGTGTCGTGGTTTGGTCTTCTCTTTGTCTAAGGAGAGGTTTGAAAGTGATATCTGCGTTTGTTTACGTGAACGCACTCAACCGTCGTAGCCCCCCCCCCCCCCCCCCGCAAATTGAAACCGCGTGGTTGACCAAGACCTCCCCAGACAGCTAAATAAATGAGTATGCAGAGATCGCCAAGCTCAACGGTGTGTTGTTCATCGGTGACGGACTGCTCAGATTCTTTTTGTACGGTTGATTTCGTGGTGAGCAGAACGCCTCCATTGTGTACCTCCTCCACCACCCCGTGTAGAACCCTCGTGGGTGTGTAATGGCTTTCGAAACTGTTTCACGCCCAGCCGCCGCCCCCTCCCCGTGCTCCGCTCATGCGGGTGCAGAAGGACACTGACGCGCTGCCTGTCGTCCTTGGATGCACCGTTTATGTCGCAGGGGGCAAGATGTTCGCGAGATGGGGCTCGTGGAGACGAGGGAGATGCTCCTGAGGCGTGCCAAGACCACCCTGCTCGTGTTTGAGCGGCCGTTGCCGCCGTCGCCGCCGCCGTCGCCCCCACGCCCGCGAAAAAACATGGGCACCAAGAATGCCCGCCGTGAAAAAAATCGTCGACAAAAACGTCCCGCGGGCGGCGGCGGCGGCGACGGCGGCGGCGGTGGCAACGGTGTTTTTTCATCTGGCGCGCAGCCAAACGTGAGCCCGGTGGTGGCGGCAGCAGCAGCAGAAGCAGGGACTACATGGCAGCGCAGAAGCACGGCTCCCGCTGCCGCACAGCGCCGGCGCGGATACCAGCAGCACCGCCTGTACAATAGCGGCGGCGGCGACGGCGGAAGCGGCAGCGGCGAGGAAGCTCCTTCTACCGCCGAGGCGGCGGCGGCCCTGGCGGCGCTGGCGGGTAGGGGCAGCTTTGGGGCGAAGGCGGCACAGCGTGCGGCGCAAAAGCGACGTCGACGAAAGGCCGCGACGGCTACGGCGGCCGTGACGCCGACAGCGGTCGACACCGACCCGAAGGTGAGGGCGAAAAAATAGAGTTTGCAAGCACGGGTGCTTGGTGCTGCCCGGCCGTGAGGGTGTACCCGACTACGTAGAGCTCGCTTGGCTGGTTTCATGTGCTTTGGGTGCGCGTGCGTGCTCCTCTCAGTCCCCCCCGCCACCTCTCGGCAAAGTAGGGAGGAACGATTGGCCATCGGTGATCGGTTCTGTGGGAACAGTGCTCCGTCCTCTCGACGACGCGTGGTGAACCGTCCAACCGCAGCGACATGCAAAACATGAGCACACACACACCCGCGCCTCTCCCTTTTTGTAGGTGTTGCCCCAGTAATATTATAGTAATTGCTGTGTCCTTTTCGGTGATCACTGAAGGATGGACCTCAGACCGATTTAAGAGGGAAAAATAGCATGCCATCGTCGCCGACGTGTAGCGAGGTCCGTCGAAGGTGCTACCCGTTGCCTGTTGTTTGACCACAAGAACAGACAAGGGTGCATCTACTGTAGGAGGTGACTGCAGGCGTTGGATAGGCTCAATCCGTTGGTGACAAGCCCAAAGCTATGAAAAAACCCCGGTAAAAAATGTACGTACACGATTTGTGTAATCAACCACAACGCGTACAAGGCCACAACAAATGGTGCCCACGTCGTGTTCGCATCAACGCATTTGAATGACGGAAGGCGTGTTGCGGGTGGAAATACTGTTGCTCTTTGGTTTGTTTCACAGCCGCCGCAGGCTGTGCAAGGCATCCTCGAGCAGCTTGATTCCCTCGCGGCTCAGCAGCAGCAGCAGCAGAAGCGGCAGCAACAGCGACGGCGGCGGCGGCGGGTGAGGCACCAATCTTCTGAATCCGCTTTTTTTTTTTCGTTTGGCTCCGTTTACGCCTGACGCGACTGTCACACGGCTGTCTGCTGTAGGGACAAAATCATACGCCGAAGACGACGCACGTTCGTGACGGCTCAGAAGCAACAAACGAGACACCTTTTCCGCCTGGTTTGTCCGCAACGAAAAAATGCCCTCTCTTGGTCTACCTTCTGTCTCGAGCCCCCCGAAGCCTTTCGAAGGGCGCTATGTACCATGCTTTATTCTTCAAGAGCTGTTGAGGGGATGAAGCTATTACTTTGTACGAAGCCTTTCGAAGGGCGCTACCATGCTTTTATTTTTCAAGAGCTGTTGAGGGGATGCAGCTGTTACTATGTACGAAGCCTTTCGAAGGGCACTACCATGCTTTGTTTTTCGAGAGCTGTTGATGCAGCTATTACTGCTGTGTACTAGTATTCGCTCTTCACTCTTTGCTTTTTTGCTCGTTACCCTGAGCGCCTTTGCTTCACGGTGGTTCCTCGTGCTTGATAGTGAGAAGCCATCTCGTTTCGGTCGACGACGAAACTCCGTGCTATCGTGCGCCCGCGGTCGTTTTGTTTGCGGTAGAAGGCGCTCTGTTGTCTCGCTACTGCTGTACGGCCGACCTGGTGTAACAACTACTATTTGCTGTGCCCCTCCCCTGTTGTCTCTCGCTGCCGTCGCCTGCTTTGCTCCGTGTGGCCACGAACCAAAAATGTTGCGAATCCGTGCTTGTTCCCTCCTACGCCCCCTCGCGCGGGTGAAAATGGCGCAGGAGAGACAAGTCCCGGTGCCGCCACCCCCGCGCCGTTCGCCCTTGCGCCCGCCGCCCCAGAAGGCGGTGGGCGAGGCGGCGACGGCGGCAGAGATAGAGACAATTCGTCGGCAGCTTGAGGAGGAGGAGGACCACGAGCGAGAGATGGAGGGGCACCGCCGACAGCGGGCGCAACAACAGCCCCCGCCGCCGCAGCAGATGCGACAGCGACGGTTAGCCGCCGAAGAAGCGCGAAATGGGGTGGGGGTTAGAGCACCAGGAGGAACGGGAGCAGAGGATCGGTCCGAGACTGAAGAGGTGGAAGCGCAAGCAGCCCGCGGGGCTGCTGCCGCAGTCGACACGCCCCCCACCACAGCGGCGGCGGCGGCGACTGCGTCGCCGCCCCCGCCGTCCCAGCGACACGGCAAGCGAGAAGGCTCTCGAAAGCCCGGAAGTCGGAGTCGCCCCGGAGAAGAAGAGACAATGGCGAAGACGGCGGCACGGCCACAACCTCGACGACCAGAGGACAGCGGAGAGGGGGAACGAAACGGTAGTGGCATGACCACGATCCTCGCGTCGCCGCGGTCGGAGATGCCGAGGGCGGCGGCAGCTGCGCCTGCTTGGCTCGGTGTGTTAGTCGGGCTGGGAATGCCGGAGTTTGCCGGGACGGGAGCGGCACGGGCGTCAGTCGTCGTGAGAGAGGCGAGGGACATGGAAGCCAAGGAGCTGGCCGTCCTCCAGCGGCTTCAGAAGGTGGGTGCGAGAAAGGGCGATTCGATGCTGCTCTAAAGAGGCTGTTACTGTTTAGTTCGACGCTGCTGTGCTTCTTCGTTTGTGTGCGTTTTTGCTCCGCTCTGTATTTGACGGCGAGGTGGTATGTATGCCTACCGGGTGCGAACGGTGTCGTTTCATCGCCCCGCTCTTATGTTGCAAGGTGCCTTTCCTCTGCTCTGTTGGATACTCTTGTCCATCCTCTCCTCTACTCACGCAGCACAGGTAGTGTTGGTTTCATAAGCCAGGAATCGTTGAGTTTTTTTATTTTTTATTTTCTTGTTCTGTTCTACCTTGCGTGCCTTGCGCGCTGCCGGGGAAGCTCAAGCCGGAGGTGACCCTCGACGACTACACCGCATTCCGCGGCGCCGGCCTTCGCTCGTCCTCACCGGCCTACGCTAGCTTGGAGGCGCTGCAGGGGCAGTACCTCAGGCGGCCGCCCGAGGACCACCAGCAGGAGTTGGCCGACCTCGCCATGAACGGGTCCTTCGTGTCGGATCTCCTTGCGGTGAGGCTCAAGTCACCGTTACCGTTTGGCCCCTACCCTGGATGTGGGGTGGGGCAAGCGGCAGAACAGACTCTACCGAACCGGTTGCTGTTTTCTCTTGCAGTTGAAGGTCTCGCGCCCTCCTTTGAACATGACCGGGTTGTGTATCCGTGAACACAGCAGTTCGTTCGCGGCATGGACGTGAGGACCCAACAGCAGTCCCGTTCTCCTTCTGTTTTTCTGGCGGGTTCGCCCAACTGCTCTTGAACTAAATAAATACCTCGCCGAGATGACTTCACAATATTTTTCATGAAATGGCATTCTAGCACCACGGCTCTAACGGACGGGCCGAGTCGCCAACGTTATGCGTTGCTGCAGTTTCCACGCTGATGGTTCGGCAATGTCAGCCGGAGACTGGGATTTTTTTTGTGAAAATGTGAGGCCCAGCTATTGCCGGTCGCCGCAAACCTCCGCCTAATTTTGATGGAGGTACAAAATCTTAGTCTTGCCACGGAACGGTTTCTTCGGCAGTAGGGAAGGGCGAGGACACGGCGGGTGGCGCCGGTTTTGCATTCTTTGGCAGGAGGCGGAATACATGTTGAAGCTCTCGCAGACGGGTGTGTTTGTTTGTGCAGCTACAGGTATTGCTGTAGCTCACTGCCCCTTTCCCCAGCATTTGCCGCGTACTCCCCATTTGTCAAGCCTAGTACCTAACGTTGGCTGCTTTTCTGGGTTCCGGGGGATGACACGTTCGAAGCAATACCTACCCATTCTCGTGGGTTCTCCATCACCCGACGTCTGTTTTACCTATGCGTATGGACGACATCGGCACGCCGACGAAAGTGGCCCCCCTTTTCACACTACTGCCTCCCCCTGCCTTCAGGGAAGTGGCGAGTCTACTATCGGGACGACGCCCACCACCACCACGGCAACCCCGCCCTCCTCATCATCACCGTCGCCTGCGCCACTCGTGGAGATGGCAGAGGCGTCCACCCCACCGGCTTGTGCCGCCGCCGAGGCTGCCGGTGGCTACAGCAAGAGGGGTTGTAGGCCTGATGTCGCCGCCGCCGCCGCCGCCGCCGCCTCGAAACCACCGTTGCCATCGTCGTCGTCGTCGTCCGCACCACGGCTCCCACACGGCGATGGCGTCACGGAAGCAGGAGCCCCGCCTGGTTGCGCCGCCGCTGAGGCCGGCGAGGGTAACCGCAGTGACGGCGACGACAAGAGCAGCATCAGCACCACCAGCAGCAGCACCAGCAGCAGCACCAGCAGCAGCAGCAGCGGTGGCGACGGTGGCGGCAGCAGCAGCGGCACCAGCAGCAGCGGCACCAGCAGCAGCGGCACCAGCAGCAGCGGCAGCGCCAGCAGCAGCGTCAGCAGCGACAGCAGCAGCAGCACCAGCAGCAGCAGCGGCGGCGGCAGCGACAGCAGCAGCAGCGGCAGCGACAGCAGCAGCGGCGGTAGCGACAGCGGCAGCAGCGGTAGCAGCAGCAGGACCGCCAACGGCACGAGTATCAATGGCAACGGGGACGGCAGTGGTCGCGGCGATGGTAAACCGCTACCGCGGCGGCGGCGGCAACAGCAACAGCAGCAGCAGCAATCTTCGTCGGGGGAAAGGTTGTCAGAGAGACATGTGCAAATCGCGATGGCGCAGCTGAAGAGAACGGCGGAAAGGGTCAAGTTTATCGAGGTATGGTGATAAAAACGGGGGCGTGCAGCTACCCATTTTGGGGGCTGTTCCAACAGAGGATTTCTTGCACGGCAGGATGTGTCACCCCCCCCCGCTCCCCTCCCCCAACTTGCCCAGTTTGTGAGTTTCGCGGGGTTGGATAGGACGTTCACCCTTCGACTACCGTCCAATCCCACCAAGTGTCACCCCCCCGCCCGCTCTATATGTAGCTTCCCGCTGCGTTAATACAACCCCTCTTAATACTCGTTACACACGCGTTGTTACCCTCTCTCCCACAGGAAAGCCGCGGCGCCTTGCAGGACGTGGTCCGGAGGTCGTCGGCGTTCCGCGAGCGCGCCACCGCCATCACTGACACCCATCGAGCCGTGCGGGTAAGCCTGCCTCCCCCCTCCCGTCTCCCTATCCATCTGGACTTTTGGGAGAAGATTCCACAACAGTTCAGCACAGCAAACGAAAACCACGTGCAAGTATGCGTATTTTTGTTTTCTTTTGCAATCGGAAGGGACATCCCGGGGGGTTGGACGGGGAATATCTTCCATTCATCCAAACGGCGCCGATGAGCAATTCAGCGTGGGGGTTGGGTCGTGGACACTGGCGAGACGCGGTAGTGCACGTATTTCATTTCACAAAGCCGTGTTCGTTCCTGAACCTTGCGGCAAAAAGACGGCAGAACTCACGCATAGTCGCTCTCCTACTGCTCTGTCTGTCTCCCATGCTACTTGCTTCCTTCGTTCCATGTTCGGGGGGGGGGTGTCACAGCGACAGTCTCTGCACGACGTGAAGGAGACGAGGGAGGCCGGGAAAAAGACGGAGAAGGAGGTATGATGCGGTATGGTACGGCAGTACGGTTCGGTACAAGGAGCCGCCGCGCTCTACTTTTCCCGCGCGCTCGTTTTCTTCGGTGTGGTACGGTTGTACGCAGACCGTCCGCTGTTTTGTGCTTGTGCGCGTGTGGTGGATGCAAAAACTGTTGTATGCATAGATAGTCCTCACTCCTGTCTCTTTTTCTTCACCCCGGTGCGGAAGCATTTTTCTGAAGACAAAGAAGTAGGGACTCGCTGCAGAGGCCCTAGCTCGCTTTCGTTGCTATCTGACGTCTACTGCGAGGGCGATGTACTGCAACACGCCGACGCGGGGGTGGCTTCTACGTCCAGGCTTGGCCGTGGAAACAAACGTCGGGAAATTTTGATCGTGTGTTTACATGTAGAGGCAGAGAAGGAGAGGGAGAGGGAGAGGAAGAGAAGGAGAGGGAGAAAGAGAGAGAGAGAGAGACAGAGACACAGAGAGAGAGGGAGAGAGAGAGAGGAGAGGGAAGAGAGAGGGAACGACCCCGTGAACAAAGACCGCGTTTGACGTGCTCGTTTTTTTTTTTTTTTTGTCTCCACACCTTATTTTTTTTTCTCCGCTGTCCTGGGACCCCTCCCCCACGGAGAGAAGGCCAGGGAAGTGCTCGCCAAGATCCGGCTCTGGGAGAAGGCAGCGCGAGTGAGCGAGGAGCTGGCCTTCAAAGAGGCCGACGCCGTGGCCCGCCGGGCCGAAAAGCTCGGGGACGCTGTGGAACTCCTGGCGGGCTGGATGGAGAGACAGAACTCTCACATGGAGCGCCTCGCGGTGGTGAGTGGAGCGAGGAGGGGAGGGGAGCGCAAGCACGTGCGATCGCCGCCGTGGCCGGAATGTGTCGTTTCGCGTATATACCTTTTTTCGTTTGTGACGTTGAATGAACGTGAGTTCGCTTGCTCCGTTTGAGTCAGTCGGCGCGGTCTGCTGCTGCTGCTACGTTGAAATGCCGACATGGGGTGTTTTTTGTTTTTCAGAAGGTCGGTGCTATCTATTGCGTAAAGGCAATGATGGGTGTCGGACGATGCAGCAAAGGGTGTCCTCGAAATGGTGGTGCGAGGTTATCGTTTCCCCCCCCTTAGTCGGGAGAAGGACCCAGGTGATTTTTTTGGGTGCATGCATTCCATGCTCAAGAACAAAATGTTCCCGTCGCCAACTAAACACAGCAGTGCGGGCGGGTTGACCCACGCGCGCGCGCCCAACCGACGATACATTTAGCCAGAGGCAGGCTCTCGACCACCTCTTGCTAACCTTTCCCCCCCCCCCGTCCCTCGTTTGTCTGCCTTTTTTTTTTTTCGGCCGTGGCTTCTTCGTGTTCTTGTGGGTGTCGCTGGTCGCTTCCTGCACGGTGCGATGACATACACAACCGGACGATGGATCGCGCAGTTCCGCATGCTGAATGGCCCGCTGGCAGCCGCAGCAGCGGCTTCGGACCAGGAGACCATACAGTAAATAGGGTAGATACCGATACCTTGGACGATGCAGCTCACTCCGATACCGCCCCCCCTCTGAGCACGAAATAAGACCCTTTTGGTCCCGGAAACGAATGGCACATCGGCGCGGCAACTGTGAGACACGGGGACAATGACAATGGTGAACAGGGGAAGCTCGTCGTTGCGGGTGTTTGGGTCGGGGGGATGGTGTAGAGTACCTGTCTTCCTTATTTGCTTCAACTTGTACCACCTTAGGGTTAGGGTTATAGGGTTAACAGCCCCACGGTGGCCTAGGTACCGCCTTTCGGCTGCCTCCCCGTTGTTTGGAAAAACCAAGATGCTGCGTGTAGGAGCTGTGTGTGGCAGAGGAAAGTTTGAAGCGACTTCACCGCCGAGTGTTGTATCTGTTTGTTGTCTCTCCCCCCAGGCACAGCGGTAGCAGAGAGTACTCCTGTGGTTGTGTGTTTGCGGGGTCCGCTCTCGTTGTTGCTTCGAAAAAGGAAGCTCCGCGCAGGGTGGAGAGGCTCGATGAGAGCGAGAGATGGCGCTCGTGCACCGTCTAGATTCGTGATGAAAATTTCCGGTCGTGCTCCCCGCAGCCGGGTGCTTGTTGTTGGGTGTACTTTTTTTTTTGTTGGAGCTCTCGGTGTTTCGAATATGCACGTGTGAGTGAGGTATGATGTGCAGTTTCAACTATGTAGCTTCGGTGTTGATGAAGGAAGGAGGTTGGCTGGCCTAAGAAATTCAGGGCGATTCGTGTTCAATCTCGGGCGTTGTACCAGTACGTCCAGGGCATCGTTCGTTTGTTGTTTGGAGGGGGCAGCAGGGAAAGATTATGTTGTTGTACAGTAATGAAGAATGCCCCCCCGGAGGGCCGCGAAAAAAGTTTTTGAAATATGTATGAACCAGTATGAATGAGATGAGGAGGACACCTGGCGTGGGCATAGAACGACGTGGCTCTCTGGGATACCCGCCAGTTTCATGGAATGGGAATTTGAGCACCCAAGTGCCTGCCTCTTGTAGTAGTATTATCCAATGTACGTCTCAGTCCATTGTTTAGAGGTCATTTTATGGGATGATGCGTTGAGGATGTTTTCTGCAAGCTTTTTCTGCTTTTGGGACTCGAAAGGGGCAGGGTAGAGAGATGGTTAGGCTTTGAATAGGTTACCGGTGTTGGACTAGGTTCGGTTGGGGTACGCCAAGTTTGTGGTTGAGTTGCATTGGAGTGGAGTGGGTGCGCAGTGCGCAGGGGGCAGAATGCGTTCGAGAAAAAACGAGCTATATATAATAGATAATTCCAACACGGTGTGTGGCACAAAGCGCCACTGGTAGACTCTACGAGTATACTGCGTCGTAAAGTACCTTTAGGGCCCAAGAGAGCCATCGACACCCTCGACACAGCGTCCCTCCGTACATTATGTATCGTACAAGACGTTCGGGCTCAATCAAGCCACCGCCAAAACGTTACGGATCACTAATAATATATATGTAAATATGTAGTCTCCACCGAATCGACAACTAACAGCCGCTCTCCCCTGCTACAGGGTACCATGGAACAGAATATTGGCATCGCGGAACGGCAAGTTCCTTGGTCGTGCCATGCACGAACACCCACACCACGACCTATCTATGTAGATATCCCACAAATCCACAAAAATGACAACGAGACGCTATCTATACTCTCGCTTCTCTTCAGATAGATTGCCAGTCTCTGTTTGCGGTCTGTGCGTCATATGCATAATAACATAAGAGATAAATTTCAAGCACAGAGGGACCACATGTGGAAGGGGGCGTTGGCACCTCTCGCCTTGCAACAAATTGAAGGAATCAAGCACCACAAGCGGAAGCGGTGGAGACACATTGACTACCACGATAGTTGTTTCTTCGTCACCCCGGCTTTACACATGTATCCAATCTTTTGGGCTGGTGCCGGTCACACGTAAGAAAGACCATTTAGTAAACGGAAGTTGTACCACGTACATAGTAGACTGGCGCCATGAACAGATCGGACAAATTCACACGCATGCAGAACGTGGAGAGTAACGACAGAGTCCTCTTCGCGGCGCGAACTGCTTCGAGACTGCGTACGTTGTAGGCACAGCAGACATATCGTACGCATGTCAGCCGTTTCCTTACATTGTCCAGAGGAGGCGTTTTCCCGAAAAAAGTCATGCCGCATCTGCATCCGCTTCGCAGATTCGAGGTTTTAAAAAATCTAGCCGGCACCTCACCTACTGTTCACGGGAATCTCGGACCTCGGACAAATAGCGCAAACCTTCCCACCACCACACACCCCCCTGGCCGCCTGGGCAGCGCGCTCCGACAGCCCGAGACCTTACAAGAGAGGGAAGTGCACCGAGTTTCATTGTCCGGTTGTGTCGACAGCAGTGTCGCTGTCGTCGTTTGCTTCCAACAACTGAGGTCCGCGTATCGTTGCTTCTCCAAGCAACACACGCAAGTGCGGAGTATCCTGATCCTGGGGCCCTAGGTGTACGTACACCGCGGCTTACACGCGGGGGCCTGCGAGCTGACAGCAGCTGCCTTCTACGGGGCTCGGGGCGACTATCTTGCCAGTGGGGGGCGCAGGGCTCCAGATGGTTCGGCTTCGAGCGGCACCATCTCAGCTCAACGCCTCTGGCGGCGAGCCCTCGAAGTCGTCCAACAGACAAAATGACGTCGAGTTGGAGCTAACAACCGCCAGCAGCCACAGCACCTTTAGCAGCGGTAGCAACAGCAGCAGCAGCAGCAGCAGCAGCGGTGGCGGTAGCAGCAGCAGCAGCTCCCTTCCTGGAGGCGTATCTACGTTGAAGGTTATGCGGGTGAGTGGGTGTACACCTTCGTGTCTAACTAAGCACCACACGTGCTCGAGTGCTGAAGGCTGCTGCTGTGTCGTCATTTCCAGGAACATGATTTAACCCAAAAGACAGGTCAAACAAATGCGGGGAATCAATTGCGGTAGCTCAGAGTGTTGTGCCTGCGCGCTGCAATGTGCCATGCCCCGCCATCAAATGCGCCGGTGACCGTGGCCAGTAGTTGAGCAGAACCGAGAACGACTAAGCAGCGCGCAAGGATGATTTTCGGCACATTATGTGCTGATTTCTGGAACCAGGAAACATGACTCCTGCGGGCATGACTTAATACAGCGATACGTACTGGGCAACCTGCGATTCGAGAATCTGGGGAGTGTATGCTCAAGGCTGTTGTATGCACATAGTGGTAGTGTGATGATACGCGTGTTTCTGAAACATTACATACTGTAGTAGTTTACGCGTAGGTTACCTCGAATGCGTTTGACACCCAGTAGCTTCACGCCGTTGTTATATTGTAGAAGTGCCGTGGTACATTGCAAGAAACAACTTGAGGGGACTGCTCGCGTTTTTTTTTTTTGTTCGTAATAGTATCGTTTGTTGGTTTTTCATCATGTTCTCGGATGGGAGGCACAACCCCGAGTATCTTTCTGACCTCTAACGAGTACACTCAATCCATTACAAGGAGCCTAAGGGTTCGTTACTATGTACAGAGTCAGACCGAGAATGTGAAAACACAAGACCGGCCCTGATGGCGACAGGAGCGTCAAGTTCGGGTCGAGGGTCGAGGCTCTCCGTGCCACTGCTGTCGAGGACAAGGGTTTTGTATACCACAGTTTGGTGTAGGATCGAGATCCTCCGCTGAGCTGTGCATGTTTCTCAGATCTATTCTTTCTTGTATTTCGTGAAATTTTGAGCCTCCGTTTCTTCGGGTCTCCCACACTTTCTATGTGTTTTGCTAGAACGCCAATGGGACACCCATGGGTCGTTCATGGGGACTTGGTTGCCCATGGTTGACCCGTGGTTGCCCACACGGGCAATGCCCATGGGTGACCCATGGTCGTTCATGGGGACTTGGTTGCCCATGGTTGACCCGTGGTTGCCCACACGGGCAACTCATGGGAAGGCCATGGGCAGCCAATGAGAGCCTTCAACCGGAAAGAAATCCTAAGGCCATTTCTTACGGTTCTTTTTTGGAGCTGTCTTTTTCTTTTTTACTTGTCAAAAAAGACAACTGGCCGCAGAACCCCTTCTTACGGTGTCTTTTTTCAGGGAAAAAAGGCCAACAAAAAAGACAACCCGTTTTGGAACAGCCCATCCTGTCTTTTTCTGGGGCAGTTTTGGATATATTGGGGCTGTCTTTTTCTGTGATCTTTTCTTGGTCACAACCACATGACGCCACCTGCAAACTTAATCTCTCGACGGTTGATCCCCGCAAACTCTAACGGTGTTCACACGAGCTGTGTCATGTGACTGGTGCAGAGTCAGTAGCATCAGCGGTAGCGTTGTTTTTTCATGCTGGACCAAGTGGACAACCCGATGTGTGCGGCGCAAACAAGCGGCAAATGAGCCGAGAGAGTCTGGACGCAGCAGCGGGGGGTCTTTGTTGGTGTTGTGTGTTGTCAAATTTTGCGAACCCAACTTTTGGGCGCCCTATAGCCTCCTGATCTGTGTCAACCACCACACAAGAAGGACCATACGCGCAGCTCATGGCGGATACCTTTGTCATCGCTGTTGCCGGTGTGGGTGGCGAGGGAGCATCGATGAACCAAAGTTGCGACACGGGCGAAAGAGCAAAAAAAATTGCTTGAAGACGAGGCGGGTCATTTTTCCCGCTTGTTCACGACTCTTGCGCTCAAAATTTTTGAGCGCCCTTCAGCCTCCTGGTCTATATCAACCACCACACAAGGCGGACCATACACACAGCTCATGGCGGATACCTTTGTCATCGCTGGTGCTGGAGTGGGTGGCGAGGGAGCATCGATAAACCAAAGTTGCGACACAGGCCAAAGAGCAGAAAAAACTGGTTGCTGGCGCGGTGGGTATTTTTCCGGCGTGCTGTTGACCCTCGCCACCTCAGTTTCCGTGCCTCCAACCGCCTTGTGGTCTCTAATAGCCACCACCCAAGACGGACCATACACACAGCTCATGGCGGATGCCTTTGTCATTGCTTTTGCTTCACTGTATGCGGAGACATCACCGAAACACGACACCGGTGGAAGGTGTATGTATGTGTGACGAACGGCCGTTGCAGGGTCTCTTTTTTTCGGTCGATGACTCGGAATAGAAAAAAGGATGAACCAGCACCCGCAAGAAGGGGGTCATCTTTTTTGTAGATCATTTTTTGGGTCGTCTCTTTTTGGGGAAAGCACATCTAATAAAAAAGACACCGTAACAAATGGCCTAAGCAATAGATTATTTGCTTTGCAACGGGCATTTAGCGGCAAATAAAACCCTAACCCTAACCCTAACAACCCTAACCCTAAACGGCTCAAATGAAACACGGAGGGCCGCAACAAGAGTTCCACTCCATGCATAGTAGAAAGAAAATTCCTGGTTCCGAAACGATGCGCACATAGACCTCCCGCAGGTTTTCTAGAGAAGGAAGTTGGAATCGGGTGGACTACAATTGTACTTCGCCCCGAAAGGAAGTTGAGTCCATGGCCCGAACTCAAGTCTGAGGGTAGCATGTATTTTTGGGGAACCATCTCAAACGAACAGCGAGTGATCAGGCCGGTGACCCATCGCCATGGAGCTCTGGAGGAGGTCTCACCCGAGCCAATCTCCTCGGCGTTGGCGCTCTTCATATATAGGCGTGGAAATTTCGAGTTTCATCCGCGGTGCGGTTCGGAGTTTTTTTTTTCGCTGCTACAGCCAGTAGTAATCATTTCGGCTGGGCGCCGAAAACATTTTCACGCCTTCTGGGCGGTTGGAGAAGGGTCCCCTCACCGCAGCCCTCGGAGCTACCTCGGAGCTACATAGCTTCGCTCGCTTGATAACAGACCCACAAGCGTGAACGGTCCTACAGAGAGACAATGTCGACAGCACAATCAAAATTAGCAACCCCATGGGAGGTGGTATACCTTTTGACCCACCCACCCCCCTCTACGTATATTTCTTGCAGGAGGAAGCAAGCATGCATGCACTCGGTACGTATATTAGATCGACACAAACCTTCCTCTTCATTTTTTTTGCGCGCTCTCCTCGTCAACTGTCAACGCAGGGGTCGTCTTTCCGCAAGGCCACTCCCCCGGCCACTCCGCCGCTAAGCCTAGCTTCGTCCCACGGCATCGGCGGCGACTGCAGCTGCCACAGCAGCAGAAAGCGTCCGAGAAGAAAGACTCTAGGAGGACCTATTATTCACAGCGGCTGCGGCTGCGGCTGCGGCTGCGGCGGCGACGGCATCAACGGCAATAACGACGTCGGCGGCGTCGACTACCGGTACGGCGGGTCGTCGCCGCCGCCTCCGTCGCAACACGGCCACCGTCATGCTCGGACCGGCTTCTGCCGCTACGCCGAGGGCGACTCCGAGTGCGATGACGACAGCATGGGCGGCGGCGGGAACAAGCTGGGGCCGCCAACTGGTATGACGCCGGCAATCAAGAGGCCACGACGCCGTCGTGTCCGCTGCTGCCTGAGCAGCCGGTGCTTGTTGGTCGCCTGCCTCTGCCTGGTCGTGGCGTGGGGAAGCTTCAAGATCGTCTGGTATTTCCAGTGGCAGGCGCGGTGCGTGGAGGGGTGCTACGACGCGGAGGCGTCGAAGACGGGCTCCCAGGGACCAGAACAGGTTCGTGGAAGTCGTTTCACACTGCGTTCCTTCAGAACCATGCATCACACAAAGGGCCCGCTTTTTATAGTGTTATTTAATATTGAAACATTCCCTACAATTTGAAACAAAATTCCCCAAGGCTCGTCGAAGCAACGTGCATTCTCTGCTGCGACGATAAAGGAGTCGTCACACGTTATATCAAGTATAATCACCGTTATATCAAGTATAATAATACAGTATTGTAGTAGCAGGGTCTTGTTTCGTCATGTATGATAGGAACCCAACGACAACACACACACACACCACGGCAACGATACCCCCCTTCCAGCCGTCCGTTGCTGCTCAAGAGGGCATACGGTAACCTTCCGACCAACAGAGGGCAAAGAGGTGTCCGTTTCGAGTTTTTCAGCCAAGTTCCGAACGAATACAGCCGACGCCGCCCCTTTCCTTGGCGGTTCTCTTGTTCCATGCGCATCCCATATTATTTGCCGAAGGCAAGCACCGCAGGAGGGGTAGGTAGGAGGCCTTACGGGGAGAAATATAACCCTCCTGTGTGATGTGACCACGGATAGGAGCTAGCTCCTACACACGGCAAATATGCAATGTGTGTGAGCGCCGATGTAATGTGAGGACACAAAAAAATAAATCCCGTGAAAAACTAAACGTTTTTCCCACCGGCGTTTCTTTTTGTTGCTTGTTTTGCTTGGTTTAGGTGCACCTCGCGTACGGCGGGGTCGACGCAGAGGGGAACCCAACGGGGGTGACGGTGGTGTGGACCACCGCGGCGGGCGAAGCCCCTCCGGTGGTGGAGTACGGGCTGAGCAGGGCTGAGTGAGTGGTTTGACGTCGAATCGCGCACTTCAACACACTACGACGATACGCACTATTTTTTTTTTTATTGCCAGTCAGTAGCCTTCGGAGGGTTTTGTGTTTTATGGAAACGTGTTGGATAAAACATACAATGGGGGGAGTTGGGTTGAGGTTAGGGACTAAATAGGGTGTGCTACCCCCCTCCCTGTTACAATTTCCTCATAGTACTAAATTTCCCGCAAAGGCGGTCGTTGATCGTAGAACCGCTCCGTGCAAGTAAAAATAATCTCACAACTCAGGGCTTCACTCTAACACAAAACTTAGTAGCCCAAGGCTGTAGCCAACCGGACAGGTAGCCACCCACCCCCTGACCCTTTTCTTGCCCTTCCGCCCCCCCCAACCCCCAGGCTTAACCTGACGGCGCACGGCAGCTCCGTCCGCTACCTGGACACGGTTCACCACAGGGCGCCCCTCGAAGACCTCGCTCCGGGCACCCGGTTCTTCTACCGCTGCGGCAACCCGTCTTCTCCGACGGCGGCGGCGGCGGCGGCAACGACAGGTGGCGGTGCCGGAGGGCGTGAGGGTGGCGGCGAAGGTGCCCCTGAGGGCCGCCCTCCAACGCTAGACGTGTCCGTTGGCGGCGTCGGCGGGGGTTTGGATTCAGGGTCAGCTTTGGGTTCGGACGGTTCTGTCTCGTCCGAGACCGGCTCTACGCCGGGGGCGGCGGCGGCGGGAGCTACGGTGGGAACAGTGGGAGTGCGTGGTGGTGGTGGTGAGAGCGGGGGCGACGGGGTGGTGACGGCGGCTGTGGTTACGGAAGGCGGAAAGTGGTCCGGAGTTTCGTCCTTCGTGACGGCACCGGAACCTGAAAGGTGGGGACCGATTTTTGGATTTTTCTACGAATGTTGTCCGATGGTCGCCCAAGGGGCAAAAGCTGAAATTGTAGGTTGGGGGGTATTCTGAGATGTGGTTGTACTTCGGATTCTCTCGCAAGTTTTTTTGCGGAATGCTTCGTGGCTGCAGCAGTCTAGACAGAGCAGTGCGGGGCGCGTTTTTCTCGGGATCAGAGCGTGGCGTTCTTTTTTTTTTGCCGGGCCCAACCCTCACACTTCCCGAGAGCCTTTTCTTTCAACCAGTAGACGATTGGCCCAGGCCGTATGCATACAACAACAGCGGCTTGTTCTGTATGTATCGCTCGAGACAGACGAGAACGACCCTTAGCTCATGTGACAAGCTTTAGTCGGCAGGTGGTCTACATGTCTGTCTCGTGGTTACAGCAGTGTCAGGGTCAGGGCAGTCGTGGGGTGACATATGAAGTGGAGTGGGTCGGTGCACGAAAAGGGACCCCCGAGCGACTACAACGATACACTCCGCAGTGCCCCCTCCCCCCCCAACGAACAAAAAGAAACGCCTTCCCTGTGTTCAGTAGTCTACGCAGTGTTTTCTACTTCAGCAAACATGCTGGATAAGGTATAGAATCGACTAAGTTGGGATATGGTTAGGGTCTGCGTGCCCCCTGTCTGGTCGTTTTCGGTAATAACCTTACCTTCTTTTTCGTAGGCAGTCCCCCTGTTTTCCCATTCTTCCCGCTCCTCTCGACGCTCACCTTCGTCGCCAATTCCGTCGTCATCGTCATCGTCGTCGTTGTTGTTGTTGTTGTTGTTGTGGTTGTTGCTGTTGCTGCTGCTGCTGCTGCTGCTGCTGCTGCTGCTGCTATTATTCTTTATGTCTACCGCTGTTGCTTATCCCATCCAATCCACACCGCAGGTGGGAAGGGGACGGCCCGTGGGACCGGCCCGTGTCCGTGGCGGTTGTCGGCGACCTGGGTCTGGTGAACGGCGGCGCCACGTTCGACCGCCTGCACCGGCTGGTGGAGGACGGCGAGGTCGATTTCGTTCTGCACCTGGGCGACATCGGATGTGAGAGAGGGTTGTGAAACGCTGTTGTACGACAGCGTTTTATGTATGTTTTTTTTTTAGCACAGGAATACGCTGCTGCTGTTGAATATGTATATGGAGGCACTGTGACCCGCAGTTCGGTGGGTGGCTGCCTTATCTATCTGCGTCTAATTTCGGGCTATTTTTCGTCGGACCTTTCACTTTCACGGGATGAGTGTTCGCGTGTGTACAGCGAGCAGCATATGAGTGTTTGTGGCTCAGACCCAGGCAGCAAGCCTTGGACTTCGAGCTTTAAACGCCGATGGAATTGGGGGGGGGGGGGGGGTAGACGAAAATTATTGTTTTTCTTGCGGGCGAGTTTGTTGGCGTGCACGCTTCCCTTCGTGCTTGCTCTTCTTTGTCCATGCTCTTGTCCGTTGGTTGATGCATGCCGTACTTCTCCTTGTTCATTCGAGAGGGGCTGACAATCGCGCGATAAGCAACCACCGTAAACGAATGAGCTGGCACGATGACAACCCCGACCGTACATGACGGTGATGAATTTCTGCGTCAAGGTAGATCGCAGTAGAACAGAGCTCTCTCGTGAGTGGCTGTTGTTGTTGTCGTTGTTGTTGTTGATGTTGTCTTAACATCAATGAAAGGGGGTGGTGTGCGATCTTTTTTGTGTTTTACCTGGTACAGTACTTGTTTTTTTTTCTTTCGTGTACGTACGTAAATGATAGTACTTACTCCTCTTCCCATCGCGCCCCAACTCTCGTGTGACCGACAATTTGCGTTCCGTTCCAACCAAGACGCTGACGATGCCTTTTTGGAGCGGCCTTGGTCGTTCGGCTACGAAGACAAGTGGGATGCTTTCATGAGAAGGTATGTACGACCCGAGGGAGTTGATAAAACTTATCTGCTTGTTTGGCGGAAACGAGTACGTGTGGCTTTTTTTGTCAAGAAGTTGGTGCGAGGATGCAATTGTACGGTGGGACGAGGTCGGCAAGCCTTCGTCTGGCGGCGGTCAAGCAGGAGGGCGGGAGTTGAGAATCTGATCTGCTTGTTTGGTGGAAATGAGTACGTGTGGCTTTTGTCAAGAGAGGGTTGGCGCGTGGATACAATCATGCGGTGGGAAGAGGTCGACAAGCTTCCGTCTGGTGGTGGTCACGCTGAAGGACGGGGAGATAGGACGGGGTTGGGGGCAGAGGCGGAGGAACAATGACGGTAGATTGACGGCAGTCACTCCAGAGGGGAGGAAGTACAAGGTTGAGCTTTGCTTGCTTCTGTCTCTGGTTCAGGCGTCGTGATCGTATCGTTTTCGGTCGCTGTGGTACGCACAGTCGGCTGGATTTAGCAACAGGGGCGGAGGTAGCGTGCCAGGTGATCCGTCTGAAATCGCCGGGACGGTATCTACTGTTTCTGTTGTCGTTTTCGGTGTCCTGCCGTCGTCGCCAGCCATTGCCGTTTCGTGGCAGTTGCAGTTGGCATCACTGCATCGCCTGCACACTAGGAAAGAAAGAAGAAAAAACAAATGCCTCAAGGTACAGCAGTACTAAATACCTTTTCGTGCTGCATCTTGCCCGCAACCACCATATTTGTACTTTTGGCGGCACTGCATGCAGCCTTGTGACTTGACCATTACCCCACCTGCTACAAACTTCCGTGTTTTTTTTTTGTCCCGCCGCTTGCTGGCACAGGGCTTCCCACGAGTTTGCCGCTAAGGTCCCGTACATGGTCGTGCCCGGAAACCACGAGGCTGAGTGCCACAGCCCCGCGTGCCTCTCCTCTCCGCGGAGACTCAACGTGAGTTGTATGCCCGTCACCTTGCGCGCGCCTGCACACACGTGCACGCTCGCCTGCCGAAGAACATGTTGTTCGTGCGACCGTGTGGTGTACGGTTTTCGATCATCAGCTTGGTGTTGGTGTCCGAATGCCATGCTTTTTTTTCGGGTAATGTAGGGATTCGCGTGTCTCGTGGCCCCAGCCGTTCTCGACTGGTGCGATAACATACAGTCAATTTTTTTTTTCTTCTGTCGTCCAGGCGGCGAGCGCCCAAGAACGACTACCAACGCGGAAGGCCTACAACACGAGACAGGCTTTTGAGAACGGGTTTCCATCAAGGAGGCGAGCTTTCATACCGCAACTCTTTGCCCCCGCCCCCACCTCCCGCGCCGCGGCCCCTCGTGTTTTTTTCACGCAGGCGCTGAGCAATTTCGCCGCCTTTAACGCGCGCTTCCGGATGCCGTCCACCGAGAGCGGCGCGGATCACGGGGTGTCCATGTGGTACTCGTTCAACGTCGGCCCCGTCCACTTCGTGGTCGTGGACACGGAAACGGACTTCGAGGGAGCGGGAGGGGACCACCTGCACTGGGTGGGGTTCGAGCACGGGAACGGGGGGTTCGGGGACCAGGTCGCTTGGCTGGAGCAGGTGAAAGAAGGGAGGGAGGGAGGGAGGGAGGGAAGGGAGGGAAGGGGAGCGCGTTGCTCGCGCTGCTGCTTTCACACCCGTCCGTTTGTGAGGTGGCAGGGAGGGAGACGTCTCCCATGCGTGATAGGTTGCTGCTGCTGCTGCTGCTGCTGCTGCTTGCTGTCGTGCCTTAGCTTGAGGGCTGTTCACAAGTGCCCTGCCGGTGTTTTTTTTGCATGGGGTCTATGGTAGCCCCTGACCTACCCCTGTTTCTATGTTATACATTTTCCCCCTCTCTTGTCTGCAACTTTAGGACCTCGCTGCAGCGCACCAGGAGCGCGACGTCCGGCCTTGGATCGTCGTTGCGGGCCACCGTCCGATGTACTCCACGGAGAAGTCCGACAGCGAAGGCCTGACTTCTTTCGGTCATTCCAACCGGTACGCATTACACCGCGAACACCCTGGTTCGAATGCCCGTTTTTTGTTTTCTTTGTTCACCCCTTCAGCGGTCACTCAAGTTCAACAAGTAGCGCAGCGTCGCTGTATGGGGTCGGGTTGGTGGCAGGTAGGATCGTCAGTGTGTGATGGCCAGGCGCCAGGTCTCTGTGGCGAACGGGGTTCATATCAACCGGCAGGTACCAATACGTGCAGCATCACGGGTCAAACAATTGCTTTCCTCGACCGCGTGTGGGACTAAATAGTCGTAAACACCTTTGTGTTGCTGAATGCCTTGACATGTTTTTTTTTTTTTCTTTCTCCAACAGTTAGTCCTTGAGCCCCCGGTTCCCCCCCACATTGACTCCACGCAGAATACGCAAGGCGTTCGAGCCCATTTTCGAGAAGAACAAGGTCGACGTGTACCTCAGCGGGCACGTCCACGCCTTCGAGCGGTCGTTACCGGTCCTCGACAATGTGCCGTACCCCAACGATGTTAGCGGTAGTGGCAACAACGGCGGCGGCGGCGGCGGCGGCGGCGGTGTCGGAGCCTCTCCGCAGTCTCTGCGCACTTCTTCCTCGAGCAGGATGGTGTACGAGAGCCCCGTTGCGCCGGTACACATCGTCAACGGAGCGGGCGGCTGCATAGAGGTGAGCACAAAAGAAGGGCGAAAAGACAACAGCAAGCACATGGGAGGGTTTCCGCGAAAGCAAAGTGTGCTACGCAGAAGCAAAAGACTCAGGAATTTATCTCATCAAAAGTCCCACGCCGATTGGCCGAACCTCGTCCGTTGCGATATAGCTGAAATCAACAGTGCTACGCAGAAGCAAGACTCAGGCGTATATCTCATCAAACTCCCACGCTGATTGGCCGAACCTAGTACACATGTAGTCCGTTTCAATACCGGAAGTTTCATCTCATTTTTTTTTTTTTTTCTGGCCTTGACTCTCCGGTGTCGCCATGCGTGCCCGCGCATGCAGGGGTTCACGAAACCGGAACCGGTGTACCCGGCGTCCTTCCCGAGGTGGCGCGCCGTGGCGACGAGCATGGTGCCAGGCGTCGGCATCCTCACGTTCTCCAGCAAGGCGGAGATGCGGTCGACGTTTGTGACGAGCGATAGCCCGGCAGAGGTGTGTTGTTGTAGCAGTTGGCACCGCGCTAACCGGCTGACCGACGAATAGACGTCAGTCTCGGTGCGGTTAGAGAGCATGCTTGTAGTATATATTTATCATCAATCGTGTTCGCCGGCTGCCCAATGGAATGACGCCACTCTCAGTGCGGTTTAACGTCGGAAACCTCTCCTAGCAGTCATGATGGGGGGCGGGTGGCTGGGGAAGCTAGGGTACGTAGTCCGGATTCCGATGTCCGTGTATGCGTTGTTGACTGTGGATCAGTCTTGCTGTTCCGTGTGTCGCATAGTCGATGTCGGCCACCGCCGCCACTGCGTTGTTGTGTCATGATTTGCCCAGGAGCGGTTCTTTTCGTGACCGTCGTGATGCCCCTCAAAGACGAGAGAAAATAGAAAGCTGGACGTTCATGGCGATCGACAGCCAGGTGGCAGAAACGTTGGTCCGGCCGAGACTACCGGGAGCACACGCCTCTGACAACGTAGTCAACAGACGTCTGGCCTTTCGATCCCGTCCTGATACTTGTGGTTAACGCCGCTCAGGCCATCTGCCTTATAAGAGTGACAAGGGATAAGATAGTCCCCCCATCGGGCTGAAGACAGTATTTTTCTCAATCCGTGCTGTGCCCTTCCCTCCCTTTCTCTCCTCGCCCCTTGGCTTTGTGGACAGATCCTCGACGAGCTCACGATTCGGCATCAACGTCCACCACTCCGTTAGTTGAGGCCCCAAAAGTTGCTGTTGGTGTTGCGTGTGTGAGCGGGGTGGAGGTGACCCGCCGAGGCCTTCCGGCCAATGAGTGTAGCGCAAGTCATACCCTTTGGATGTTGCGTTATTTTCCTTGTGTGTTTGGTTGGGCCAGGAAGGGGAAGGAAGACGAGAAATACGAATTCGCCACCGGGCCCCCAAAAAGATCCCGGCCGGTGGACCCCCGTCGGCACCGTTAGACGCGGCAGAGGTTTTTGTAGTGTTTGGTTATGTGTGAATTGTGCAGGTAGGCTGGCGCTCGTATCATGTGTTGTTTCCCAACAACCGGTTCTCGTCTTCATTTTTTTACTATTTTTTTTACCTTGTCTTCGTCTCGGCAAGGTCGTTGTGTCGTTGTAGAGCGACCTTGCCGTCCAAAACCCCACGGTGTTGTTTTGTCCCCGCTTGCGTGTGTTTGACGTTTCAAAGTGGTTGATGTCGAGGGTTTGTTGTCCTCAGAAGATTTTTTGACTATCGCTTCCACCATCGCGGACTGTTAACATTCAAGGCCCTCGACACGGCTCGGTCGCCTCAGAAGAATATTGTTGGTGCCTGCGTGGTTTGTTTATTGTTGCTGTCAGCGTGGTTTGTTCATTGCTGTTGTCTGCGTGGTTTGTTTTCGTTTGCGAAGCACAGCAGCATGGGCCTCTTCTGGCGATTGTTTCTAAATCCATGAAAGATCGTTGTCTCCGAAGCACAGCAGCACAGGCGCTGACTGTTGTTTGTCAACATTTCAGAGGTTAAGGGTGAAGATGCCGAGGTAGGGGATTTACGCGTACGCAACAAACCAACCAGCTCACTGCGCCTTTTTGAAGAGAGACGTCAAGTGCCCCCCGGTTCCCTTGCTACGGTAGTGTTTACAATCCTTTTAGGTCTACAGGCATCCTGACAGATCATTGCTTGATCATTTGCAAAATGCTGGTGTGGTGGCATGCCATGGAGTTACCGCCCTGTATCCCTCCACGCCTGTTGGCATGTCCATAGGTAGGTGTGTCTTTCTTGTTAGCATCGACCGTGCTAACCGGTAACCAATGAAACAACTTTAGTGCCAGCGGGTAAAATCAAGGTCCCTAGAACGACAAAATTCGAAAGATGCACCATGCCAACTTGACCATGCGCTTAATGCGAATGCCACAATGAATCTCTCCCCATATCCTTTCACAGAGACACACATCAATTGCCCTCGCCCGAATCTAAGAAGCCGCTGTGCCCTCGCCCGAATCTAAGAAGCCGCTGAATAACGCAAAGAGCGGAGGACAGCAGAAAGGGGCATTTCAAGCCCAACCAGGCCAGGATATCGTGGCATGCTGCATATTCTCCAAATTTGAAGATCGTACACTACCAAGATCCAGCAGTCATCGTGTCAGCACCTATGCTACACAGCAGCAACAGTATAGACGAGTCCAACATACAGTTGTACATCATAGCCCCACACATACCCTCCGCCCGAACCTAGAGAGCCATTGATCCAAAGGAAAGTGTATGCTGGTGTGCTTGCGTGCTTGAGGGAATTATGGGGAAATCCCACGAGCTGTAGTGAGTCGACCGCGCTCACATTCGGAGGGACAGAGAACTACAGAAGCACACAGCTCTGGGTCTGCAAGCGCTCTCGCTGATCATTTTCACTGATCATTTGAATGTACTCAAAATCGAGAAATGTAGACAGCTTGAAGACTGACCTTTTCAAGCTGTACAAGCCGAACCTGCCCTATATGGGCAGCACCACGACCACGGATGAACCCTGTCTGTGCCCACCGTCCTGTCGCGGGCTGCCCTCATGATCTGTGGGTGGAGACAGCTGTCGCATCTACAGAAGTACACTTGTTTTTTGTGCTGCACTTCTCTCTCCCGCCCTATCTATTCTTGCCGCAGAATCAAGAAGAGGTAGACCCCAAAGGAGTTAAGCAAGACTGGTGCCGCTGAAGCTGATACGGCCGAAATTGTTTGACCGGTGAGCGGCCAGGGCCAAAGCTTGTTCCTTTTTTTTTCATGAAAGGAAATGATTGTGAAATGTGTGATAAAACAACTCACGACCCATCAAGGGAGGGTTGGGGCAACAGGAATGAATGTGGGAAGGAAAAGGGCGAGAGCAATCAAAATGGTGAGTATTTCGCAGGATGAAGGCTGACTTTGCAGGGCGCACAACTCTCCTGTCCTATGATATTCCACACGGTGCCCGACCACTTTGATGGAAGTATTCGAACGGATGAGGCGAATGTTGGAGGCCTCATGGCTGTGTAGAGGCGGCTCCGCCATGAATATTTCACTCGATGAGCTCGCGCCGCCGCTGTCACCCTCCAAATGAAAGCGTGAGAGAGCCCTCACATGTAGGGGCTTTGGTGTGTTGTATCCCCGGCTCTATTCTCGCATTGATTGTAGGATAGTAGCAATGGTCCATCAGATTGCGTTCGTTTTTCCGGTCGTGAAAGCCGGTCGCCCCGAGAGTCTATTGGTTAGCCTTGAAATATTCAAATGAACGAATCACAAATACCATTAATTAATTTTGCTTGCACAGAGGGGGGTCGTGGGGGGTCGTGCATGCCGTAGTGGTGGACTATTGACCTCACATCCCTAGAAAGCCCGGAAGGAGCACGCCGTTCTCAACGGACCAGGCCCTCACATCACCAAGCGCAAAGCGCCGTCGTGAGGTATTCGGTGAGTCGCATGGAGGGTGCGCTGCATCCTGCGAATGTTCAGCATCTTGTGCCTATACAATCATTCTTGCTACGGATGACAGCCACTAAATTACCAGTTTTCTGATGTTTTCACTTTCGGAGACAGTTGTACTGTATAACTGCCTCGAGGGGGCTTGCCCGACTTACCACAACACGGTGCGACCATCCCCTTTGCGCGCAGTGAGGGTTCTCGACTCCGGGCAGCATAATCTACTCGACTACCATCGTGCTTACCGCAAATAGAAACCAAACGAAAATACAAGCGGTAATAACCTGATCTGTGTATTATACAACGTTGTTGCCATGCGACAAAAACCGACAACGGGAGGGATGGTGGGGAAGGGTGTGTACGTTTGCAGGGTGAGCACCAGAGCGAAAAGCATTACAGCCACGGAAGATAAATTAGAATTGCACACCCTGGGAGCACGAATGAAATGAACGAGTTTGGAGCTTTCACAGCGAGACACACACTGCGGTTACTGTGCAGGTGAGACTGTGTTTAGGACTCGCTTTCTTTTGGTCGCCGCGTGGGTCCGCCGACATCAACTATTGATGATTCCGTGTTTAGGCTGGAGCGAGTGAACAACCGGAGCTGTTCTATCAACGTCTACGTCTACATCAATACCTGTGTTTTAAGGAATGTATGAATGTGCCTTCATCTTCGGGGAACATACATACAAGTAGGCCCGCCTATATATTTTGTGTGATGATGGTGCCAATTTCTTGACAAGTTGACGGGCGTCCCGCATCAAAATGCCAATGCGTCGAGACGACGCAAATGAATGGGGTGAACGAAGAGCAATACAGAATCACGCTCCTCATGACATGGGATAGAAGCGTTGTGAAACTCGCGCACCGAAGCTGTGTCGTTGAAATATTTTGGAGCATGTTTCTGGGGATGCCGTTGCAGAGGTGGAGTATTCAATGAAACATACCGCGATGACGCTGCAGATTTCATACGGACAGGCAAGGACTTAGTCTTGTCAGCGACAATCTCGCACAGGTCCCTGTGACTCGATGGATCATACCACTGCTGCGGAATCACTAATATGGTAGCTATCCTGCGCGAGCACAAGCCCGAGACACAAGATTTTTCTGCTGTCGCGCAGTGAAAACGCTCTCCCCCTGTGCAACTATCCACCAGCACTCAACACAAACAACCCAGGATGCTCAGTTTCCCTATGAACCAGACGCCGTCTTTAGGCAAAATAAACGATTTACGGGTCGGGCGTTCTCTCCACTGCGACTTTTTTCCTGCTGCCACCGCCACCGGCCGACTTGGCTCTCGCGGCAGCCCCCTGCCGCACGGCCGCCCGTTCCGCCGCTCTCGCTGCCGCTGCCGCCGCGATCGGGTCCACCACAGGAGCCTCTTTCTTCTCCCCCCCCGTAGTCCGGTCAGTCCCTTCGTCACCTGAATACGAGAACATGCCGTGCGGGACGAGGGTTCGTTGCTTGGACCAGTTTCTTTTTTCTCGGAAACGTGATGCTGTTTCATTTCATATACCAATGTGATGAAGGAAGCTAGCTCACTCTACGGACTAGACCACTTTGAATGGGGACGGGCAAATGTGGTTTGGGGCACCAGCAAGGCGGGAAAGACCCTGGTACTGTACATTTTCTATCTATCTAAAAGTCATGGTGGTGGCATGGTGCGACCGCGACGGGTGTCTCCCCGGTTGTGATAGATTAATTCATGAATATTCCGCAACGCTCATGAATCACATGGGATTTCCAGCACAAACCTGTCCTAGTCTACCGTGAATCGTCGGGAACGGCGGTGCTTTTCGACAGAGGAAAAGACACGATAGGGGCTGAAACATTTCGTATGTGGAGAGCAAAACGTATATCAGGGCACGCAAAGTACGGTGGACGCGGTGGATATAACCTGCCATCCTGAACCATCGATCGTACCGTTCCTCGAGCCAAGCGACAACATTTGCTCTGAACGCATTTCATAAGTCTACCAAAGGTGAGTATGTTCACCCAGCCAGTCCTAATGTGAAATATTTCGTCTCGTAAGTGTTTCTGTTTTACTCCTTCTCTCTCTCTCTGTCTCTTTCTCTCTCTGTCTGTGTGTGTGTGTCTCTCTCTCTCTCTCTCTCTCTTTCTCTCTCTCTCTCTCTCTCTCTCTCTCTCTCTCTCTCTCTCTCTCTCTCTCTCTCAAGTTTTTCTCTCTCTCCCTCTCGACAGTAGTGCGCGCGTGTCCACAATCTCGATATCTCGATTTTTCTCCTTCTCATTGCCCTCTTGTCTCAGCCTCATGGCCCTGTTTCTCTCGCTCTCGCTTACCTTCGGCGTCGTTAGCGTCCCAACCGTTGATCTTGTTCGTCAGGTTCTTGGCTAGCTGCCGGGCTACGAGTCCTATCGCCCCCCCTGCCGATTGCCCTGTACCTTCTCCACCAAATGCTCTCGCTCGTAGCGTCTTCACGGCCCCTGCTGCCCGCACGAAGCGTCCCGTCCTCCTGTTTGTAGGTTGGGCACAAAGAGGGTCGCGGCTTATCCAACAAGATTGGTTCGGAGCCTGAACCAAACAGGATACGTTTGTGAAAGGGACTATCGACCGACTTTTCAAGGTATGAACAAACGACGGCATCGTGACGTGCACAATATCCCTGTGGCCGCAGGTCAGAGGAGCGCGGGGCACAGGGAGGAACTGCGGCGGGGGTGAGGAGAGTGGTCGAAACTGGATGGAAATACATAACTAGGAAATGGCACACACATACAAGTATCGTGAGTGCCTCTGATGCCCACACGTATTCCGGGAAGCGACAAGAGAGCAATTTAAAAGCCGAATCTGAACACTTGTCTATATTTCCGCACCGAATTACTAGTATGAATATCGTCGGCAATCAATCGCCTTTCACGTGTTGTGGCCCTCGTCCTATCACGTTCGTCCCGTAAACGGGTAGTGCATGCCGGCGGTGTGCATCTTTTCGAGGCCTCATTCATATCCATCGATGCCAACAGAAACTAGAGATAAAGGTCTTGCCTTCGACTCTCCCTCTCGTCGGCCTCTTTCTTCAGCCGTCGTGCAGCCACCTCCCTCTCGTGGTAGGCCTCACGGGTCTGCGCCGAGGCCGCGCGCGCTGCCTCTGCCTCCTTATCCTGCCGGCGCAGCTGGCGCTGGTACTTCTTGCGGCGTTCCAGCAGTACCTGTCGCCTCTCTTGCTGGGCTTTGTGCCTAATAGATGTTGTTGTTGTTCGTGGCGGAGGTGTCAGTGGTCATGTGTCGGGGGAGCGTGTAGAGAAGAAGGGAAGGTCAACGTTCGTGTGTTGGGTGGTAGACAACGATGGAATAGTTAGGTAAGCAAGAAGAGAACGGTGGAGCCCCCGCGATAGGAAAAGGGCGACGCTCCGAATGTGTTGCAGCGTATCAGGATGCTCGGAAATGGGTCGGCGATCTACAGAGAGATTTTGCCACTCGAGAACGAGCGGAGTCATTGGTGGCCTGGCCGTCGTAAGAGCCTTCGCTCAATCCAATACGCGTACGACCAACGACACACCATTCCGTTTTGAAGGTGCACCCTGATCTCTGATTGTTCATTCTGGTCAGCATGTCTGTTGAAGGGTCACTCGGCGCGGGGTTTGCACCAAGGAAGGGCCCCGGCCGGAGTTGAAGGAAATTTGCATCATGCCGGTTCGTTGAACGGTGTATCCGGGTGTTGGCACGTATACAGCACGAACAACCCCAACATTTATCGTCGGTCGCCCCAGTGTATCCTCGACACCTTCTAGAGGTCAGGTCAGGGGTTCGAATCCCAGCGCAAGCGAGCTTTTCTTGCAAAGTGAGTTTTTCTCTCGCTTCCGCTCCTGGCCTAGTGGATAGCGCTAGTTCGTGTGTACACAGAGGGAAGAGAGTGCTGACTTCTGCTCGCATTAAAAATCGAAGGCAGAGTACCGCAGAATGGGAGGGTAGAGAGGGGCTCTTCTGTGTGACCACGGGTTGGAGTAAACGGCACTAGTGCTGTGAGCGTTGATTTGAAGTGAAGGCAAAAAAAAAAAAAAACGTCCAGGGTGGCGACACAACGGATGAAAACAGCTCGCCTACGAAGCAAACAACGGCGGTAGCCCTCCTTTAAGAACATCGACGCCTGGGATAAAATGCACCGTTCGTCCTTCTCACGCACCTGGTCTGCCGGATCCGAATCCTCGCCGCCCGCCCGGGGTCGATCACGTCCAACACCTCCAGGTCAGTGTAGCCTCCGCCCATTTCTCCGTCATCAGTGACCTGACGGTTTCGCACCACAGCTTCCCTACCAGTTCGGTTGCCATTGTTGAGAAAGAGATCCCAATGTCAATCAACCGCACGTGGGATTCAGAAGACTGACAGCCTTGCCACACCTCGTCGTCGAAGTTTCTGCGGATCCCGTTGAGAGGTCAGTAGCTCGCGAAAAAGGTTCGAGACTTCAGTTCGTTGTCAGGTGTACGCCGAACCATGACGACATGCATTCAGCTGAAACAAGGTGACGTCACAGTGTTGGTGTCGAACCAATGCCGAACGGTTGATCTATTGCTAGAGGTTGACCTGCGGAGAAACTTCGACGGGCATCAAGCTGCAACCGCTCACCCTGTGGTCTGGTGGCATGACGTTTCGAGAGGGGTTTCAACGGATTCCGTAAATTGAGTTGGAATGATCTTGTTAGGAAGGCTTGAGGGTTGGAAAGCGAAAATCACGAACTCATGGCAGCGCGGAGGAGATTTTTCTGGTGAACCACGGATCGGTCTTTCAGCTACTGGAAGTTTCGAACCGCGAGTCTCAGCAATCGAACGGAACGTTGGAAGGAAAACAAATCCTGCCTAACGACCAATTTCTTCGCCTCTGTCTTATCCCGGCTGCGGTAACCCAAGGCCGTGAATGTGCGTGCGTCATACGCAATATGTTATCAACCGGGCGACAGAACGAATCAACCGGCCGACCAGACCAAGTGCCACAAATCCACGAGAATCTCACCTGCGCGTGTCGTTAAAGTGGCCGTCCTCTAGCTCCCCCCCCTCCTCGGACTTCTTGAGCTTGTGCGCGGCGAGGGCCTGCTTCCTCTCCTCGTCGTCCTCCGGGTGCTCTCGCTCCCACCAGAACGGGTCCTCCGGCTCGAAGAGAGTCACACCGACGCCGAGGCACTCCCAGGAGTCGGAGGGGCCGGAGGCGGCCACGCTCGCGGCGGGCGACAGGCCTTCGAACAGAGCGACACACCTGGTTGTTTCACTTTCCGGGGAGGGGGGGCAGAGGAGGTAGAGGAAAGGGGGGAATACGAAAATGGAGAGCATGGGTGAGACCTGACCCCTAATTCAGCAAACGATGAATTCGTACAATGTCATTTGCTGTGTTTTTCGACTGATGTATCGCAATGCGCGAGCGATACACGCTGTTGAAACGCTGACGAATAATCCCAGACCCATGCTCCGGAGGTTCTTGAACTCAAGTGCGTAGTGAAACCTACGTAGTCGTAGATCTCGCGAACCCCATCTATAGACTGATCTCTAAGGCATTGACAAGATGGTTTGAAAGAAAAATCGAATGGATTATTTTATCTCTCCCAGCGACGGAAAAGTTGTCGACAAAACAACATGTTTCTTCTGATGCCTGTGCTTACCTGTCTTTCACATTGCTCCCTCCCTCCTGTCCCCGTGATTCGTTGCCGACCTCGTCATCCACCTCCTTGTTGGCTCCATGTTCGTTTCCTCTGCCGTTCTCGCCGACGCCCGCGTCCTGATCCTCATCGTTGTGGTCGTAGTTGCGCCCGGGACCCTCGGTCGCGAAGCTGAGGTTGCTGCTGAACAGGGCGAGGAGCATCTCCCACTCCTTTTTTCCTCCCGGCACAAGCAGACCCTTTCCGTTCTCGCTGTTCTCGCTCTCACCTTGCCCGTCTGTCCGTCCGTGGCCTTCTGCCGCCGCCGCCGCCGCCGCCGCCGCCGCCGTCGCCGCCTCTGCTACCGCTTGAGGCGGGCCTGCGCTGCTTCGAGCGGTTGGTTTGGGCGTCGTCGTTGACGAAGACGGTGGTGTTGACGGCCTGGCTTTGCTCTCGCTTGCTGGGTGGCTGTGTGTTCTTGAACCCGCTTCCGCCATTGCCACGGCAGCCTGCGCCAGGGCAAATTGAGGCGCCATCGTATCAGTTGCAATGTTCTTGGTAAGGAACAGCGTCTCACAGCCGGATGGTCTGGTGGGGCCGGCCACGTACACCCTTTTCGGCTACATCGCCCGAAAGCCGAAGGGGATACTTGGCAGGCGCTTTATGCCGAACGCCCAACCTTTCAGCCGGTACGTTACACGCAAGCCTGTTCCGCAGTTGTTAAAGCGTGTCGCACCTGGAGAAGCATGCGCCCTTCCGCTGCGTGGACGGATTCTCGCTCCGACTGGTCCACGAGAAGCACACCGAGGTTGTTCACAGCCGCCGCGGCTCCGGCAGTGCCCTTCCGGCGTCTCTGCCTTATCGCGACCAGGCGTCTCCAGTGCTTCTCTGCCTCAGCCTTCTCGCTCTCCCGGGTGGCTGCCCGCTGCCTGTTTGTTGATTGTTGATTGTTTTCGTTGTTTTGTGTTCTTAGGGCGTGTGTTTGTGTCTCTACTGTTTTTCTTCAAACATTTCCGTGTTCCGGTTTGCTCTGTCATTGCGGAACAACCCCGCTTTCCTGCGTGTTTCTCGCCTTCTTTGTTCTATTCTGTTCGCTTTGCTCGTCTCGACAGACAAGACTTGGCTCACGAGAAGTACGGTGGCGGAAACCGTTCCGTGGGATCTGAAAAGCATGGGGTGGCTGCTACGGTAAACGCGATAAAACAGAAAAACATGGAGTGAATATTTGAACAGGGCGAGATGTGGTAGCATCGCGTGAGAAGATTATGAAAAAAGGGTTGAAGACGGAATGGCGCCCAAAGGAGTTGTCGATAACACTTGTCGAGACGATGAAAACTAAAAGGATTCATAGCAAACATGTCTAACCCAGTCTTCGACGCTCGGCCTAGTGCTCCCGTACCTGGCGCTGAGCCCTCTTTCGTAGAGGTCCACTTCCTCTTGCATCTTCTCCTCTTCCTTCAGCCGCAGCTTTTCCAGGTGTTTTCTTTCCCTCTCTTCCTCCTCACGCCTCTGCAGTACGCACCCAGACGTCCAAAGAATCAAGGCAGATAGCAACGTGTGTTTCTTCTCGCTTTGAGAAAGCAGACATATGCTACATATTCAACAGTATAGGTCCTCGTTTCGCTGTTGGGGGCAGCTACTTTTTCAGAATACGCACGCCCGGACGATGCACTGGGATTGTCGACAAAACTGCGAGAACGACCGAGACCTCAATGTTGAGGGGGATAGGAACGACAGACGGGTCCTCTCCAGGTGGTGCCCGCCTTCCGGATATCGTTTGTATGAATGACACTTCTTGCCCGTACTCCAAAACAAGGGCATACCACCAACTTCTCATGTCGTCGTGGTTGTTCGTCTCAGAGCGCGCGACTCGCCTGGCGGTCCTTGGCCCGATCGATTTCGTCCAGCGCCACCCTTCGACGAGTCTCGGCTCGCGCCTCGCGGGCCCCTTCTTCGAGACGCCCGGCCATCGGCTCTCCCATGCCCGCCGGAAGAAGCGAAAATATGGGAAACCCTGTCACCTGAAGCCGCGCTGTAACCTTGATCGGCGGGTCGGAGGTGTGACCGAAGCACCGGAAACGTTTCGCAGGGGGGTGAGAGAAAGCGGCTACAGGGTGAACTGAAGAGGGAGGAGGATACGAGGAAGAAGTGGCAGGGTGGACCGAACACCCGTCGAGGTCGTAGCGTGAAAGCTGAGGCTCCTTGAGATTGGATTCGAGGATGAGGCCGCGAGAAATTTCGGGGTGTTCAATATATCTCAGGGGGTCTGACGTCGTGCTTTGTGGTCACTGCCTCATAGGGCTACGGACGAGGGGAAAGAAGAACAGGCAAACAATTCACTGGTGTTGTGTGAAGAGCAAATAACACACAGCAGCCATCATTCCCACCGATGGAGGCACCAAGTTTTCGCAATGGTGCCGGTGATCCCACCTCCCTTCGTCAGAATTTCAACGCCAGATTGCCCCAAACCGAAAGGGTACCATTGCCGAAACGGACGTTATGGATCTCGAGGACGTCCCTGGGGCCTATCGCGCCTGTTTTCGTACCCTCATGGCTGTGGAGCGTTTGCGCAACGGAAGCCGGTCTAGGGGGATGCGATTTCTCGCACAACTACGACACCTCTTATGGCCAACCTCAGCTGACATCTGGACGTCAAAAAGTATCTCGCTGACTGTGCCGCCAACCATGACGAGTAAGCCTTCTTGTTGACATCGTTACACGACATCGTACCTTTCGGGTACCGAGTCCTAGTGTAGCCACTCCTTCTAGACGGGCGCGAGCGGCGTCGTAGGCCCTCAGCCCCCTGGCGATTGCCGTAGCAGTGGCAGCCTAATCGGACAAGGGACGGTTCGTTGTACACCAAGTGATGGAAACCCAACCATCCATGTTTCGATCAGGTTTTGGTTTGGCTCACTACTGTAAAACGTTGTTATTCCTCGTTCGATTAATAACTGGCAATGCTGAGTATCTAAAGATGGCCGGGAGGGGCGGAAGCTCGGTCACCTCGGGATGCCACGGATGGTTTGGTCGATTTGGAGGACGAGAGGAGACCTCGAGTTGAATCTTGGGGCAAAATGAGATGACTTGTGAACAGGAGTTTTGGGGAGCTGACTGCTACTTGCCACAAGGTATTGCCGAAGCTGAAAATGCACCTTGGCAGTTCGTGTCCCACATTCCCGTGACAAGAAAGTCGTTCGTGAAACGAGGGAGTGAACCCTGCCCTGCAGCAGGTAAGTGCACGACGCCGACTACCACACTTCCTGGGACGCTACTTGATGTATCCTTTTTCTCCCGAGACAGGAAAAGCACACACTACAGTAAGGCTAGCCTAAACATGCATCGTTTCTCGAAGGCCTTGGCGCACTTTCTTTCCAATGGTGCCCAGACTCTCACTGGTGGTATCGCCAACAACCGTGTGGTGTTAGTGTTGTGAAAGAAAAACTGCGAGACCTGCGACGGGACCCACCATACCGACGTTTACCTGCAGGCGCTCGTCTATCCCTCTCGCTTTCTCCTCGACTATCTCGAGCTCCTTCCACATGTCTTCTTCGATCTGAGGGGGGCGAGGTGTAGCAGGAAATTGTGACCTTTGTATTTCTCGAGAGCAAACCCATGGAATTCACTGACAATGTTGCATCGATCTGCGACAACCGCTGACTGTTTTTGGTCAAGTGCGGGGGAGGGGGAACGAACCTTCGACGGGAGGCCAGAGGCGAGCATCGCCTTTAGCGCTTTGGCCTTTTCCAGGGCCGCCTTCATGTCTCCCAAAGCACCCTCTTCCACGAACACGTCCTCCAGGTCTGGGACACCTTCTCGTTCGATTTCGTCTTCGTTTCCGTGTGTCTGTTCAGGGGGACGGTGACACATCGTGTGCTTACATCGTCGGTATCACTTTCGCGGTTGTCGTTCATGTTGCATGGATATTTTCGTCATGGTAGTTATTGTTGTGGCGTGTAGTAGAATTTTGGTGGGTATTTTGCTCGTGAAGGCTGCGATATAGGATAACCGCAGGTTACGACATATTCAAGCGCATGTCGCGTATACGTATGAGCGACGGTGCGTGTACAGCACATTCCCAATCATGGAAGCAAAACGGTTTCGTTTAGAACCTCACCGCACATAGCGGGCAGTTGGAATTAGTGCTACGAAATCCACGTCCAACAAACGTCTGAATCGAAGCTTATTCGCTTTCAGACGGGTACGCCGTTCAGAACGAACGCCCCGCCCTTTAATCCCAACCCTTCTCGGTGCTAACACACTGTGAGGTTGCTTTGACAGCAGGAAAATGTTTTTTTTTTATTTCCTCTTGCCATGCTCGGTGTTGGCGGGAAGAACGCTGTGACCGAGTGTCGGGTACGCCTACTGCGATTGCGGTCCATGGATGCCTCCCCCTTCCCCGCACCTGCACGCTCTCGGTACCCCCTCCTTCTTCGCGTACCCCGTCCATCTGTGCCCGCTCCCGGCCGTCCACGCCCCCCTTCCCTCTCCCTCTTCCCCCCCTTCCTTCTTCACCTCCCGTCTTGCTGCCGTTTTCTTTGTGGCTTTCTTCCTCGCTGACCCCCAAGTACTGCGCCAGGTCCTTCGCGTTATTCCTCTCAGTGGTGTGCAGTCGTCGCGTTGTGCTACCATCAGCACCGCCGCCTGTGCCGCCTCTGCCAACATCTCCGCTGCCGCCGCCACCGTCTCCTCTCCCGCCGCGACCGCCACCGCCGGTCTTGTTGCTGCCAGAAGGCTCGGAAGAAGGTGCCATGGTCACGTTTCTAAGGCGACCGCCATCCCCACCATCGCCACCCGCGGTGTCTGCAGTCACAGTCGTTGAAGATTTCGTTCGGGGTGGGGTAGTCAGGCCGATGGACATGGTCTCGGTGTTGCTACCTCTCGGTCCTGCACCCCTCCTGTCCTGCTCATGCACTCTTCCTCCGAACGTTGTTGGCGTCGTGCCACGAGGGCGGGCGCGATGTCTGCGTGTGCCTCCTCGGTTGCCGCTCCTGTTACTGCCGTTTCCACTGCCGTTGTTGTGGTCGCTGTCACTCTCGCTTCCCCCGTCGAAGAGGCCGGCGGCAACGAATGAAGGCATGTCGCCACCAGGTTCGTACCATCCCGAAGGCGTACTTGCCCACCTCTCCCCAAACGCAGCGGCGGCGGCGTCTCTGAAGCTTGGGATCACCTTCAGGTGGGAAGTGCAGTGTGCAGTGGTGACACCGAGTTAATTATGTGTAGCGATGACAAGTTTTCGACCACAAGGTGGCGTTCCGTGATGGTGGAAGGCATAACGTATCCTGGGTCAGGATCGTTTTTTCATCCTAATTGAGTACCACGATTTACCCTGTTGCCCCTGGATTGCCCGAAAATGGCGTGGTGGCAGCTAGTGAAATGAATGAATTGACATCAATACGAGTAACGTTCCCGGTCAGGTAGGACCAACTTTGTGTATTCAGTCATCCATCCACTCCATTGGACCACGGCTTTTTGTTGCATACGGAGTATAATATCTGACATAATTTCTTCCGAGATAGACTGCAGTAGATGTATCTTTCAGCGCAAAATGGTTTCTCGATTCATCGATATCAACAGCGGCGAAGGGATTTGTATCCGCCGCACACCAAAGGTGGGCGGGTTATTGGCGCCATACTCACCCCCTCATCCCCATCGGCCAACCACTTTTGTATCTCTTCCACAGCTCTCGAAGCCCATCCAGGGCTCAACAACCACTCCTTCAGTCGCCTTTATGGCAACGAGCGACCCCAGATAACCACAGAAGTTGGAGAGATGAGCAACCCAAGGGCAGCGGGTGAGAAGTGGAAGGACCGTCTCAATAGGAGAAGAAGTCGAGATCATATCATTCATTTTCTCATTCTACATAGTTTGAAACTATTGACGACGCGTGGTTCCTAGAGCCTAGAAACGCCTGAGAAGTTCCACGTACACAAGCATTGCATCGCGCTCACCCCCAACCGTTTGAAGTCGACCAATCAGCGCATGCCTGTCCAGCTCGTTCACGTACCAACCTGCCTAAGTAACACACCAACACAAATACAGTGCACCCGGAACACCCCAAGACGAACAGCAATGGAAACGTAGCCTCTCCTTCTCTCACGAGCTACCGAAACAATCAATTACAACAGTTCATTGCCAACATGACCGTATCCCTTTTTGTCTCAGAAAGTAAACGGGGGCGTACTTACACGTCTCCATCTGCGGGCGCCAGCCAGTCAGCGATGCTTTCCCCAGAGCAATCCAGGTGCGAATCCACTGCAAACCTTAGCAAAAACGACAGGGCCTTTTCAGCGCGGCCTAGCTGAGGGTGCTCCTCTATGGTCATGTCTTCTAGTCGCTCGGCGGCAAGGGCGTCGACTTGTCCCACGGCGGATACCTTCACCCCCAACAGTGAATTAAGCGAAGCAACCTGACCGCATGGGGGCGTGGCGTGATGGGATTCAATACCTATCTCGTCATCTGTGGCCAACACTTTTTTGTCAGAAAATTGAGAGCAGCTTTGTGGTGTAGAAATGGACAGAACGGATAACCCGGTAGGTATGTTCTAGTTTGCATCTGTACGCCTACGAAAGAGATACGTCATCTGCGCCGCATCTCTCGTGAAGTAAACTATCATATTTTGATGTTTTGCGCATCACAGAAGCAGGTTGTTTTCGAAACCAAGTACTGGTGCGTTTGGAGGATGTCCAAGAACGAACAGCTGCACGAACGTGAAACGGTGGGGGTTACACCCACGCCAGATGATGCGGTTACAGGCGGCGGAGAGCCGACGAAAAACAGAGTGGCTTCGATGCCTCGGTTACGAGCGGTCAACTAGGAAATACGTGAATCTGACAGAGGCACGACCCCTCTTTCTTGACAAATGGGGCTTGCAAATCACTTCTGTAGGAGCCGAGGGCAGAAGACGTGGTCCGAAATCCCGCTCTTCGGCCACGGAGTAGTGGAAAATACTCACCCCGCTGGCCTCGATATCGTCCCCTAGGCGACCGAAGTCCCGGTAGAAGGCTACGAGCCCATCCTCCGTCACGTAGCCTTGTCTGTCCGTCTTGACTCCCATTTCCTGGTCGTTTGTTTTTGGGTGAACGGGCCGACGTATGGTATGGTGGACACGACTGGCACGCTCCGAAATGAACAGCGACCGAGCTCTCATTGGCCGGGTTTTACGTATGGGATGGGCTAGTAAGTGGGATAGGGCGGAACTACGCAGCATCGGCATGGCGACAGTAAGCTTTGAAGGGATGTGATATAGCCGGCATAACGCAATGGACGAGCCGACCTCAACCGGAACGGCTTGGTTGGACGCATTCAAAGCCATGAGTGGCCTCATCCCCGTTCGTGCAGTTGTCACTTCCAAGGTGTTCAAAATACCAGACTACACAGTCTATGCCGCAGGAACGCCCGTTCTATTTCACGTAGACGCATTTTCGCAAGTCTCCTTCATCTTCCGTCGGAAACTAGTCGCGGACATGGGCCTTGGGCGTATATGGGAATAGTTGGACGGGCCCACCCGCCGAAGAACAGGACAAACCATACAACAAACCAGTCGCCCCTTCACATAACTTCGACGTTGGGGGACACTCGACATGTTCCTAACCTTCCTTAATCGCATGCTGGCTTGCTTATTGCGGGACCAACTCAGCGTTCTGAGTGCTACTCACCTTGAGGGTGTGGAGGTAGTCGAGTTCAGTGGGCATCGCGCCATGCGTGGCCCGCATCCCCATCCGCCGCAGCATTCCTACCATCTCCGAGTAGCTCAAGCCTCCATCGAGATCCTGCGTCCGAGGAAGGCAAAGATTTTGTGTTGTTTCCAAGGGTGAAAGAATAATCACGGATGAAACCACGGGAGGTGTGATGTCCCATCGCGCTCAGCGAGACCGTTCGGTTTCGATAGCTCTGTCCGCCTGCGACCATAACCTACCGTTTTCATCCCGCAACCTAACGCGTTCTCCTATCCCGACTCCCTGAGATCTCTATCGAAGCACGTCATATCCCACTTTTCTTCAAATTGCCCCTTTCTCGGTGGGATATATGTCCAACGTTGGTGCCTGATGTCCTACGACCATAGGATAATTACCGAGTGGGAACAAACTGTGTCCCGCCCCTCATCGTTACTGCCCTGTTTTCCATAAGCTTTCCTGCCAGTCCACCCGCGTCTCTAACTCTGCGCGTGCATTAATTCACGAATCAGATGGACCCCGCGTCGTAGGCATGCACTCATCTTTGGTTTCCACGTAAACCACGCTCCGTTCTGCTCTCGGCTGACAGCGCTCGGTGGTGTTCAGATGCAATCCCCCCCCTCCCGCCCCTCCTTTCCATCAACACAGCCAATTTTTTCGCTACACCAAACGCACGGTTTCCTATCCAACAAAAGAAATGCAACAAGTTTTTCCGTGTCCCGTCCGGAACGACCCGCTTCCTTTGCAACAGCAACAGCTCTTTGTTTCATGGTTTCGAAGTCTCGACTAACCAGGGCGGGCGCCCTGCTTCACAGGCACGCACTTCATTACCGCGTGCCGATCCGACCACATGAACTCGCCCCAGCTGCTCGCGACCGGCTTTAGCACTTGCTGTGTTCATGTCATTGTTCGAGGGTCAAACATCTATTCATATCCACATGAGAGTATCCAATGACTACCTTGGGTACACCTCTGTGTTCTACTTCCTTTGCACGTCCTTCAATACAGGAGTACGCACCTTGTCGGCCGCTCGGAACAACATTCTGGCCGCCCTCTCCCCGAACTTGCTTAGCGCCCCGCCCCCCGCCGCGCCCTTGATCCTCCCCTCCAAGGCCCTTGTAACCCTGGCCGAAAGATCGGCGAGAGTGCCGACCTCGCTCAAGCCATGCTTGGCGAGGACGGGGCGAAGTCGGTCGAAGCTCATGGACGGCACTTGCTCCAGGAGTTCTGAAGCTCGCTCGATCTCTTCTAGAACCTCCCTGATTTAGTAGGTGTGCGCATGGAAGAGACGAAAACATAGAAGGTTAACGGGGTTCGACAGACGGGGTTCGACAGGGGATGATGGTGAAACCAGTGCTTGAGCAAATTGGACGTAACTTCGACGCACCCTAAGATGGCCATAACGTCCTTCTCGGAATGGTCTCGTGGTTTCAACAGCGGAAGCATATGGTAGAACAGGCGGGAGTCACCCTCAACGGTTTGCATGTGTGATGTCTTGTTTGCTGAGATCGTTCCCCGTGTGAAACTGGCGCTCTACTCCCCGACAACAAAGTGAAAGCTACGAAAAACAAAGCACACAAACAGAACGCTTCTGGAGAGCACGTGCGCCGAAGGAAGACAATGTAAAACAAACGCTCACTCCCGTCACTCCCGTCACTCCCGATGGGTGCGGCATGTTATTTGGTGCGCCTTACCTGGCATACGCTCTTGGGTCGATTGAGTCGTTCGGCAGCTCTTCCTCTTGAGGGCCGTACAATCTGCAGGGGTTATGGAAGGGGGCCATTGGGCATTGGACCCAGGGTTGATTTTCGCAGGGGAGTGAGACAGTTGGAAGAAAAATCACAATCTGTTCAGGTCAGCGACTGTGTCCGTTTTCCCATGAACGTTCGTCGGGGATCTCTTTGACACGTCGCACACACATACGGACTGTCCGCGTGCATCAGAAATCAACCGTAAGCCTCTGTTCAAGGATTGGCGACATCATTGCGCCACCTTGAGCATGCAGGATAGATGCACACGGAACTTCCGTGAGTTAAAGCTTCGGAGAAGGGCATGAATGACACTGAAAGAACGAAACCTGTCGTGGGGTAAGTTCAGTAAGTGAAGATTGTGAGACATGTCATTTACCGCAAAAGAATCAATTCACCTTTCATTCTTGCCTATCCCACGGTGGCTACGTTGACTACAAGGGCTACGCGAAAGCTCCGACAGTGATAAGTAATCCAGATTTTAACCAAAATGTATCGCATATGGTCTTGTCAACTGGAGATTCTGAAAACTCGTCGACGAATTGAAACTGTTCTAGGACATGTCCTACACCCAACGTCCGAATCGGCGGAATAGTGTGCAGGAAACATAGAAAGTAGCGATCGTTTCAATACGTTGCTACTGAAGCAACAACACCCGTCTCTCCTAACGCACGAAGTCCGCACGTACCTCCGTTTGAAGTTTTTCCACGGGTCCATGAAGTCTAGCACCTCTCCCATCGAAGCTGTCATTTCCAGCTTTTCCGACCGTGCGTAAAACATGTTTCAGCACAGCACCCAGTCACCATTAGCGCTCGCGTCAGCAACAACTAGATGAGGAACAGCAAGATGGTGATGGTTGCTTTCGGGGTTGTTCAGAGCACGAACAAAAACATATGCGTCGCGGACACAGACAAAACAGTAAATAGGATAGGCAGTATTCAAACCGGGGCATATCCGCCCACATGTATGTCTGGAACACGTCCTGAACCATTCTCGATATTTGTCTCAAGTTACTCTATCCACCCCAACTGGTTTAGCAGAATCTTGCTATTCTCCATAGTTCTTCGAACAGTATCACGTCTTCTTCTTGTCCTTTTGGCACCCTCCCTACCACCCTTCACGCAAATGCTCTCACGAATTCCACATCTGACTTCTGCGTAGCGAACTGCACCAGGTGTGCGAAGAGCAAGCGTTACCATGATGGAAGCTCCCGCTGGGTAGGGCTATACCTGCACAGTGAGCTTGTACACTAAATCCGCCAACGGGTGATGGACTGTCGCCGACTGGTCGTCCGAGCCCTGAATCGTTACCATTCAAGGAATGGCATGTCGAAGGGCAAAGGTGGAAAAAGTAGGTAACAGGTGAGATTGTTTGAGGCCAAAGGTCGGTCAAAAGGGAGCGCAAAAAAACAAACCACAGGGGTCAAGGAAGAAACAATGCTGGAAACAAAACTGCAACACAAGCACAAAGAGTAGCATCAATGGTTGAACCACATCTTTGGCTGGAAAAAACGATTTTTCGGTGCCCATGTGCATTCAGAGGTCACTACCGGTTGCGTCCCTTCTCCCCAGCAACAGCTGGTGTTCGCATCCATCCCGAGCTGTTTCACACCATCCACAAACCTCTGGCGTCACAGGGAGAAGAGGTTCAAGATCTACGACTTTGTTCGCCGCATGCACTTTTCTTCGCGATTACGTCTGAAATCCACGCAAGTAGACTGTAAGACAAGTACCTCGTTACGTTCCGTCTTGGGGCGGGCAGTCATTTCAAAGGGGTCCCTTTCCCAGAAAAAGGCCACCCTGAGCACGCGCCGCGCCCCTCGACTCGTCGTCGAAGCGCCTACACCTCCGCGTGGGCTGACATTCGACGAAGCTGCCGCCGCCGCGGCCCCTATAGGATGAACGCCCGAAACGTGAGCGAAATGCTAAGTTGGAAAAACGGCCAAAGCTCTTTCACTTTGTGGTTCTATCGAAGGCACGGTGATTGCGGACAGTACAGTATCGTTGAGCGATACCTCTCTGTTCCTGCGCTTGTATTCCGTGAATTGGTTTTGCGGTGGGGGTTTGTGCGTATTCCATGCAAGCATTCTCCCCTCTAACGGACAAATTTGTTCGTTTGTTGAGGAAATTTCCTCGATAACCCATCGGTTTTGCCGCTGATGCTATGGAGGTGCTGGGTAGAATGGAGGCCGTGAATGAACTCAACACGACAACAGAGGTGGTAGATGGGTTCTCTGGGGTGGACAACGAGCGCTTGGTGTGCGGTGTGCTCATGACTGGTCATAGCGTCCGTTGAAGTAACGTGCCAGATTGTAACGACTCCGACCGCTCTCGTGACGTATTGCGTACAATCTCCCGTTCGTGCAGTGAGATATGTAGCTGCCGCGTCGCCCAGCAACACCACTTCGCTGCCGTTGCCAGTATCGTCGTTCTTCGCACGGGCGCTCCGCTCGTCCGTATTAAGGACATCGCTCTCTGGCGCGTGGTAAACCACCTACCCGCCGACTAGGGTAAACATTTTCCTCGTCGAACAATGCCCTAGTTCTGTCTACCTGTTGTGGTTGTTGTCGGCTTGGAGCCACGGCCCACGGGCTGGCGAGGGGATCGAGGAGTTGCGGCCCCGGCCCCAGCAAAGGTTTTCGGGGAGTTGTTGCCGTAGCGGATGCGAACGACCGAGACGAGAACATCGGTGAATCCGAGCTCGTTTCGGTAGTCCTTGGTTGTCGTTGCCGTATTTGAATCCGGTAGCGTTGGGGCGGGAGGGGGGCGACGATTGAGGTGTGGAATAGATATATCGTTGAAAGTTCTCCATACTCAGCGCGCACGGCGCACCCCTGTGAAGAAGCTCGTCCCCTCGTGACAGGCCCGACTTTGTTTGATGTCGCAACGTTCGGGAAAAGGGGACGGAAATGAAGAATAAAGTTGCCTTGCAACAACAGCGCCGATCCACATAACAATATATCGTTTCTGACCTCACACCGCCTTCGATGAAACGACTTCCCGGCCCACGCAATAATGACGGCTTTGCACACGCGTCTCTAGGTAAACATCACGGAGCCAAAATACAACCAGAACGACGCCCCTCCCCTCCCAACATACCTACCCTAGGGATGTTTTGGAAGAAGCCCCTGAACTCCCGCGCCACCCTTTCTGCTGCAGAAGCCTCCGCCGCCTCTAGCTCTAAGGCCGCATCTCGCTCCGCCGCCAGCGCCGCAAGAAGCGACGTCTGCCCCGACCCTGACCCTGACCCTGACCCACCCCCGGCGGTTTCGATGCTACCTGGGGGGGACCCCAACGACCTGGGCAAAACAGCGGTGGCAGCCAGGTCCCCGTGTTTGGGTGCACAATGCGTCATCTCTCGTCCGCTCTGTTCTTCTTGGGGCCAGTCCATAGAAAAATACGTATTATCCCGGATTCCTACGTGCGTCGACCCAGTTCGCTTCATGTTGTTAGACATGGACGTCGTCAGGGTTTGATCGTCTCGAAACCTGTGGATAGTTGTGCTGTGTCGGGGTTCTTTTGCGTCGACAGTCCACATTTATAGATCATAGATGTGGCCAACATCCCGTCCCCTCCCCCCCTCAATGGTCTAACGACTACGGCATGCACGACTATGAGTACACCCCCCCTCCCCCCCCCTCTCTCTCTCTTTCTCACACACACAGACACAAACACATTTTGACTCCCTCATTCCCCGTGTTTCTCTCTCTCTCACCCTCGGCCATCACCGGGAGACTTCGCGGCTGTACGACGAACGCTTCCCCCTGGGGTGGCAGCAGCAGATGTTGACCGAGCACTGCGTGGTGTAGCGGACGATGCCTCTCGACCTCGTCCCTGGGCTTCCTCAAGAGGAGACGGCGGAGGGGCGACCGCAAGAAAGGGCATATCCAGCCAGGCCACGGCGTGCATCTCTTTCACCTGCTCAGATCGTTTGGTGTGGCCCGAGAGTGCCCGAGCAATGTAGACGACATGTCAACAACGTATTCCTGATTTCCCTATCAGCTCTTGTCTTGCTGTCTCGTGTGTGGGCCCAGGCTACGACGGTGAGCGCCCCCATCTTCCGCCGTATCCGCCGGTTGGTGGCGAGGTTGGCTCGGCGGCTAAACTATAACCGCTGTACGAATGAAGGGCGCCTTGTTGGACTGCAATCGCTCGCTCGTCCACTCCCGTCCTCACCTCACCAAGAACGGGAAAAAAAACTTCACACTAGCGCTGCTGCTTGGTTGGTCGTCGCCGTGGATTATCTAGACTTCAACCGTTCGGATCCGTCCTCGTACCGATCAATTCATGCTACCATCGCATGACACCACGCGCGAGCAACTCAGGTGCGGCCTTAGGTGCGGCGAAATTTGCTGGGGGCGAGCGCACATAGTTGCGCCGAGGAATCATTTACCTCAAGCTTCAGATTCACGCCTGGAATGGCCTCAACGTTGCTACACAAGTTTTAAAGGATCGGGATTGGACGAACCTGGGGGGCCTCTCTGGCGGCCTTGCGCCCTTCTTCTGCTTCAGCCGCCTCTCGTTCCTTTTTGGAAACCCCTTCTGCCTGGAAATGGTCCAAAAAAGGAGTCAACTCAAGCGATCGGGGAGGTTCATTTCGGTTATTTGTACTATGCGGTTGCCTCACAACCAACTAGACATCGGCCATTCAACCTGCTACCCATGACATCTACAGTAGGTGCCGGAGGATGGAAACAAAACCACTATCATGGGCTCTACACCTGTGGCCCCGCGGGAGTCTGGACGTACTCGCTCACCTTGGCCCTTTCCTCTCGCTTCTTTCTGGCCATCCCTTGCTCCTGCCAGAAAACTAACTGCAACTTTTTCTGAAGCGCGGGGGGGGCGGAGGGAATGGCATGCAGACGGAGTCTTCAGGCGAGGCTGGCGGGTAGGGGTGAATTAGTACAAGTCCAGGCGCAACACGGGATGTTTTCACCATGTGCCTTGTGAGCAACCACGCATTGGGAAGTGCCATGGTAAAGCTCCTTGGCATTTCCCTCTTTGGCATATGCGGATGTATATTCATCTTCAAATTATGCTGCAGAATAAGGCTCGGGCCTCACACTCGTGCACACGCCAATGCACGTCGAGACCGAAGAGGCACGATACCAGCTTCTTCGTCTGGGCGGCCCTTGTTTCTCCTTGAGGAAGTTCCATAGGTGTGCTATTTGTACCCTCGATGAGAACATGCCGTCGTAAGAGTCTGTTTGTCCACCCACCATCGACCCGTGTGATTGTTGTTTTCACAAGTACTAGCACCTCTCCGAAGCTGGTACTTGTCCACCCACCACCCACCTGTTCATCTTCGTACGCTTGTAGCAGCTCTCTCGCGGGGGGGTCAAATCTAGTTGACGCAGCTGCCCCGCCACCTTCACCCCCAGGACGCGGGGAACGGCCTGGGGAACGTGGAGTCAACCCAGCACCTCTCTCCGCGTCCGCCCTTACGATATCCAGCCTTATCTTCGATCCCCACGCCGCCGCCGCCGCCGCCGCCGCATTAGTAGTACCAGTAGGGCCACCGCCACCGCTGCCACTCCCTCCACCAGAAGAATGATATGCTGAATTTGTCTGGCCGTTTGTCGAAAATGGAGAAGAGGACTTGTTAGCATGACTGCCACCACGTCCCCTTCCGTCGTTGTTGGACGATGAGGCCTTCCTCCCCGCGCCCTTGCTACCACTGCCTCCTGCCCCGCCCGGTCCATCGCCGTCGCCGCTACCACTACCGTTGGAAGGGTCTACAGAATCGGATGCTGTCAACCCGTCATGCTGAGTCGGACGCGGGATCGTTATCGAGCAGGCGAACCGAGAGAAGCGCGGCTCTGGCGAGAGCTTCGCCCCGTTAGCATGGCGTTTCCCTCTCCCGCTTTGTAGATGCCCACCCATCTTCCCACCGATGACGGCCCCCAGAGCTTCAAAGCTGCTTTCCGTGCTCGAGGCCAAGCTTCCACTCTCGTTGTCGCCCGCACTCATGTCGGCCGTTCGGGCGTTCTTCTGAAGGGTGTTTCGAGCGAGGATGCTCCTCTTCAGGCGCGCTAGCTCTAGGATGACACCTTCGTTCCACACCTGTATCATAGTATGACATGGTTGGTGCCAGGGTGGTGGAAAGGGTGGAAAGCCCGTGGAAAATTGTCTAGCGTGGGCGGGCCTCAGTTTTTGTCTTTCGCAGACAAGTCGGGGCTGGTGTCCTTAGATGCCGCCTACGTTGGGGGCGCAAGCCCCTAAGCGTTCTGAAGTGTTCAAGTTCAGCCGCTCGTACATCATCGTCAAAGTCATGAAATAATGGAAGACTGAACTAAGGCAAACCAACGCCGATGAAGCACGGGGCCCATTCGCAATGCACACCAACAGTACGCCACATCGTAGCAGAGAAACCTCGTAGGAATTCTTCGAGAGTCGGTGAACAGAGCCCAAAGTAGGGCATGCAGGAGCAAGGGAACATGGCAAACCAGAGCGCCGAGGCAAAAGGTAGCCATGAAAACAAACTTGGAGGACGTTTTTGTGTCGCTTTGCGTCTTTTTTGGTAACCTTGTGCCAGTGTTTTAAGCGCTCCTTCCACGGAGGCGGGGGGTTGTGACGCCTGGCTTCCGCTTCCAGCCGCCTCTTTTCCCTCAGACGGCACCAACGAATGAATCCCAGGAGGGTCACCCTGCCCAGCTGGTCCTTCTCGAGGTCCCCCCCGTCAGCCAAGGCCTCCTCCGCCTCCCTGAGAGAAGACCACGAGAGCATTGCAGGCAACTATGGGAGTAAGTGTAGACGGGGCCATGTGTCTTGAGCTCGCGAAATCTGGTCTCATGCGCCTGCTTGGAAACAAGAAAGGAGAGAAACTCCGTCCGATCGCGTGGGGGGTTTCAGGCCAATGGAAAATGTCGATCATACCGTTCCCGAAAGTCGATGGGTATGCTACCGATACGTGTCAAACAAGTGGTCTGTTCTCGCTATTGTGGTTGTTTCGACACCAAGCTCCTGTGAGGGTAAAGGTCCCCCAGTCTCTAGACTCGGAAACGGGGGTAAAGGAGCAAACGAGTAGAAACCAATGCTCTTTCAGCCACCCAGCCATTCCAATACTCGCAAGCACACCGAAAATCAATGGCATGAAGCATGTACATGGAGTGGACATTTTACCGACCGAAAAAGGGTGATGGCGTGTTTTTTTACGGTACAGAGGTTTGCTAAAATTGTTCGGCAGTTTCGGGCGGATGTTCTCTTGGACTTTCAACGACGGGGCTCACGTTAAATTGCAGAGCTATTCCCGGAGGCATTCTCGACAGTCCACACATGGAAGAAACCATCAAGCAAGGGTTGAAGGACGACGCAAGTGGGGACAAGTTCGAGGTCATGAAGCACCCGTGCTGTTACGTGCCTGTCCGTAACAAACCCCCCGGCGCCTTCCACCAGGTCTTCCAGAGTATCTACATCCAGGCGGGCCGCGAACGGCGCAGTCCACTGCGTGTCCTTCTCCACCTCCCCTTCCCCCGGCGAATGCGGGCAAAAGTGTACACCAGGGTAAACACAAGGCTTAGAGCTTTGAGCCCGAGGGACAGCTTGGTTTTGGAGTTGATAAGTGATTGGGCTAGGTTGCGCTTACAGTTCGCGCTATGTTGGGTCAGTTTCGAGTCCAGCGGAATGGGAGGGTTGGAAAAACAGCACTTTGATCATTTATTAGTGCTATCTTCGTTTTTAAGTCTGCCTAAGCTCTAAACACTTCACCTGAAGAAAATGCCACTATTATTCCTCCGTGGTGGCAATCAAAGCTGGTGTATGCCTTCAAAGGCGGCGAGTTACACCGGAACGAGTTCTACCGAGCCAACGGAGCATCTCCGCATACCTTCATTGCCGTTGGCCGCGGCATGCTCCGCCTTGAGCAGGTCCCAGTCCCGAACGCTTCGCATCTCCCCTCCGCTAAGTGATGCCCGCCCTTCTCCACCCCTGGCGAGCGCAGCAAGTCGCATGCCTCCTTCCGCACCCCCTCCTGTTCCCTTGGACTGGCGTTGATTCGCCTTTTCCATTTGAAAACGAATGATGAGAGCATCACTCCGCGGCTTGGGTTGACATGGTTTCCGCGAACGGATATTTTGGGTTACTAATCGGTGATGCTTGCGTTATTGCGTTTTGGGGCGGGCGGTGGGAAAGGCAGCTTCTTCGATTTTTGTACTGCACCATGCCTGCGTTGTTTGCTTTCCTGCATTCTCGGCGTACCTAGCAAACAGATTATGCCTTCGGCTGATCAGATTGCCGGCCACCCAAACGCCAAGCGCCGTCATCACCAACAACCAACCGCAACCAATCGCAGCGACAACACCGATCAGAAGTACAACCGTCCGCGCGACAGCAGGCGCACCCTTTTGGAGATGCCCAGCTTGTACGCCCTCGCAAAGCTCGTGCTATCCGCTGCTCCCGACGTCTTCCACTCTCCTCGCCCGAGGTTAAGCGCGGCTTCGCGGGCGCGTTCGTTGATTCCCCTCTCTCGCTCCGCCCGCCGGGCGGCCCTCCTTTTGTTCTGCTCCTCAAGCGCCCGCGTATCCTTAGCGGCAGCCATTAATCCCGCAGCTATCGTGCGACATGGAGAAAGAGACCACAGGAACGAAACAAAGCACAATCAACCTTGTGTTGCTTGAAGACGGTTCCCCAATGGAGCCGTTGAAGGCGGGGGTGTCTTCAGTCTGAACTCAGGCGGGCAGATCTGCTGCGGGTGGCCATTGTGTGTCTCGTGGCGTACGTGCGAACCAGCACGAGCGCAAGAATAAAAAAGAAATGACCGTTGTGACTTGTTGTTCTCGTCGTCATCGTTGTTACTGGTGCTGTTTCTGTGACTACATAAGGCGCCCGTTTGGGCCACGTGCAATTCTTACGTCAGTCGATGTTAGAACAACGGACAAATGAGTGTGTGGTCAAGACAAAGACGTTTGATTCGTGGGGCCTCACATTGCGCCCCGCTCGCGGCCCCTATCCCCTTCTTCGCGGCTGCGCGCACGAGCCTTCCAACCTCCGCCAAAACTTGCATCTGGACCTCCGGTAGCGAGGCGAATCCATCCGACCAACCCAAGGCGGTCGCAGCATGCAGGGATCGACTGCTCCCTACTCTTTCGACTCCCGCGTTGGTCCGCGGGGTTGCAAGAGGGCTTGGGGATCCAAGAGGCTTCACCCACGATATTCGGCGACCACCACCACCACTACTGTTACTAAGACCATCACGCTGCTGTGACGCAGCAGGTATCGTTGATGTTGGATCTGCTTTGTCGTGATTTTCTTGGCTGCTGTTCGCCATGGTGAAGGGAGAATCATCGTTCAAGCCGCCTGGACCTCCTGTTGTTCGGGGAGTTCCGCAACACGTCATCGCGCGGTGAGGAATAGTTGGTCTCGCCGAAACTTCAAGAATTTTCCCTGGGTGGGGAAATCCTTCCACTGTAGAATCTAACAACACCTCACTTCCTTTGGACACAAACAACGTCACACAATGAGCGAATACAAACGCTCGTAAAACTCCTGAAACACGCCACAATGTTCTTGACGTGCAGATGCCGCGAAGTGGTGAACATTACCCTACTGGTATGGTTCAATCTGCTTCGCGTGGTTGCTTGTGTCTGGTGTCAAAAATGGAGAATGAGAAAGCGCGGCAGGGCGATTCTTGTTTGTCCCTCGGGAGTTATTTTCTAACTCGTGCCCGTTTGTTGCCACAACTCGCATGAGTGCCATCTACTTTGATTTGACTTTGCAGAGATGAAGCTTGAAACCACTTGGCCCTGACCGTCACCAGTGTTTTCAGACAGAGCAATGAGTTGGGCCCCACACAAAGCATGGGAGACAGACAAGCTTCCTCTCAAGTTTATTAATCTCCAAAAGACAATGCTATCTCAGCCCGCCCTCTTTTGCATCAACTTCGTCTTCCACAACACTTCACGTCGCCAACGTCAAGCGAAGTGGGAATCATGTGCTGATTTTGCCACCTCTCGATATCTTGCACGCCAATTGCAGCAATGACGTAAATAGCAGTTCACAACATGTTTTCTGCATCTCGGTGTACGAGAGCGCATAATTTGTCAGCACATCAAACGTTGCTGAGCGATTCGAAGAGTACGCCTTGAACACAAGCCACCTTACCTGCTGAGTTCCCGTCACCGCCTGGCGCCCGTTTTTCGAGCAGTGCGCGGATGGCGGCGGGCTCCAGAATCCTCCCGACCCCCCACTTCTCTGCAAGCGTACGCACCCTCGCTCGGGTAACCACCAGCCTACGTGCATCACCGCCTCTCTCTGTGGCGTACGCCCTGACTTCACTTGCGGCATACTTCACGAACGCCACCCCGGGGCAGGACAGAAACGACCGTAAGGGTTGTGGCGCTAGATGGGAAAGGGACAACTAGGGACAAATACAGCGAGACCCTCTCCGTCTGGGGCGTCCACCGTAAGCGGGTTCTGACGAATCTCAGACAGGGACGAAGGAGGGGAACACTCGCGTTGCTACCGATGGGATGCAGGGATAGGGCATGTACTGCGGTTTGTCGCAATAGCGCGAGAAATGGCTCAAGAACGTTAACGGCAGGGCAAGTCGCAAAACAATCATACCTCCGCCCGCCTGTCGTAGTCGTCAAGAGCACTGTCCACCTCAGAAAGTTCGCGAAGGAGCTCGTGCTCGTGACGGTAGAGCTGCACAGTAGATTTCGGGCAGATTGAAACAAGACGAGGCAGGAGGCTTCGAGTGCTGGAATGAGACACCGACTGAAACGCATATCCCCGTCGTCGCAAGAGCGAATGTTTCAAACATCATGGCTTAGCAAATAGAAGTTGAGGGAAAACACTTATCGAAGTAGGTCGGATTTTACTTTGCGTTGAACCAATTGACGGTAAGCAACACTCGTCCAGGTACTAGTATTTCAAAGCCCAAGCGACTTGGCCCCTAGTTAAGTGTTAGCTATATTCCTGGGTACAGGATTCAAGCTGACAAGAAACCATCCGATTATCTCTCCATAACAAATCACACAAGGAGAAATGGGAATCTGCGATTGGGTGAGCTACGAGCACTATTGTATCCGGAAAAAAAAAACAAAGAGGATCCTTTCGTGTTGCTTGCCCACCAGAACGAGGTCCGCGGAGCCCGTGGCCCCCACGCCCTTCAAGAAGTTCCGGCATCGCGAGTTTGCGCAGCAGAAACTTGATACCGCTGCTGCCGAAATGCTCGCGCTAACCAGGACAGCACCGGTGCTCTTTGAGGTCGGACCAGTACCACCGCTGCCGACGGAGCCGGTGGGGGCGGTCTTGGCGACGCAAGTGGCCGTCGACGTTGCAGAGGCGGTTTCCTCGCCCGCGGTCTTCTGCCCCCCGTCAGCTGCCGTGCGAGTGGCCAACGCTTCTGCCACGGCCGCCTGGTCGGAGGTTTTTGGCCGGGTGACGAGCGCGTGGGGGTGTGTGGGGTGCGAGTGGATCCTCCTCTGATGGGAAGAGCGTGTCAGGGAATGTCGATTCATGGTAATCTTTGGGCAGGGGATGTTTTCCGAGACTCCCTGAGCAATGGTACAATCTGCAGCACGGTTGCCTGTATGGCCAGGTGATAGGGGACATGTGTCGCGTATTTTTCTGTTTCAGGTGGGAAAATCGATGCGGGCAAAATATATCCCTGAGGTCAATGACCCGAGATCCTGTTCTGTGCGACTGACTCGGGCCTTCGCTGTTGAGGGACAACACCAAAATGTACAATTTTGTAGCGCGTTCTGCGTGTTTCAAGCTCTCTTCCGACTCCTGAGCGGTTGGTGACTCCCCGAAGGTAAAAACCTTCGGTGAAGGCTATAATTCAAATATGTATGATAGCTCGACATTTCTCCCTTGCAGAGTAAAACCAAAAGGGTACCAATGGCTTGCGGTTAGAGGACGTGGAATTTCCGTCTGCTTTCGTGGCAAGTTGAAGCCTTGGGGTTACCACCCCACTCAGCTCAATACACAAAAAAATGTTCAGTTGGGAGAGGGCCTCGCAAAACGAATTACCTGCTGAAAGCATAGACGGGATTGTGTGGTTGTGTGTTTCTTCAAACGAGAGGGATTCACGCACATGTAGAGCGTTATCTCCAAACGTCAAGGTATTCAAAAGGAAAATGAACGCGAAACCCCATGCCTCCCTGCAGTCTAGACAACGTACGAGCGCAAGGACGCTGCAGCGCCTTCAAGGGTATGATCGGCACCTGATGGAGGAATGCTTCTTGGGCTAGGGAATGAATTTTGCCATCTGGCGGGGGCTCCACTCTGTGCAGTCGACAAAACCCCGTGGCGCACGCACTCATGGCCATCCGGAGCTCGGTCTCGTTGACCATCCCATCTCTGCCGTGTCACGTTTGGTCGGATGAAGCGCGAAAACTCATGTTTTTTTTGCGATGAAACGCGAACATTGCGGAGCGGATCAAATCATCTGATGAAAAAGCAACCTCCCGCCACAACTGATGCTGTATCGTGTCCAGTGTTCGTGGCGTCCCAAGGGTGCACGAAGAATGTCATCCCGCACACCTAGGTACCCCCCCCGGGAGGGCCGACAAAAGGTTTTCGACTTTTTGCTTCTCATGGGGCTAGAGCCCACTGCACGCAAGTAGCTTATGTGCGACTTGTCGTGTACAACAAGTGACGACGTTACACGCATAGTTTGAGTGGAGTAGGTGCTCTCTTGGTGTGCTACGTTCCCATTTGTGTGATCATGGCTCGGGGTTCGCAAGAAAGGATCCTAGCCCGTGCATAGGGTACCCCACGGAAAAAATGGTTCCCCACCGCGGGCCCCCTATGCTTTATATAGGAATTAGAGTACCGGTACCCCCTCCCCCCCCCCCAAACACCTCCCAAGTAAGAAAATGGGTACGTGCTGTAGGTGTCGGAGAAAAAACATTTCGGGCACCCTTTGGGCGTCCCCGTAAAAAAGTAACTTACCCGACGTTGCCTCATTGAGGAGAGGAAACCCTGCTGCTTTCGCACCTGTCGGCATCGTACATGCCCAAGATGAACTTGACCTTGCTCAGCTCGGGAGCCCCAGTGAGGAGGGCAAGCCCTCCCCACACCATTCCCGAGGGCACACGGCCCCGTTCCAGCACGTCGAAGCACGAGAAGCACTTGTCTAGATGCGTTCTTCGGTGGCGCTCGGCGTCGGCTGGGCGTACCTGTTTGCGATTCACACGCAGGCCGCCGGCGTTACCTTGCCACGCTCCCTGCCCCGCCGGTGGATAGTTGCCCACATCTCCAAACACCTATGGGTAGTTTATGTGGTGGGGCGACGGGCCACAACCGGGCATTGCGCCGTCAGCTGGATCGCGACACCGAGTCTTTCTCGCGCAGGTGGGAAAAGGCATGCCCCGCTGTTGCTGTGGGAATGCCACAGAAACGGTGGCGGCCATAGGTACGGGCTTTGGCCGTGAACTACACACTCAACATAAGTTCAAAGTACAATCAGCAACGCGAATCGATCGAGCTTGCGATCATGACAAACACGTTAGAACTCATGTTAGCGAAGCGGGCAATTGTACAGTAGTGCACCTTGAGGAAATCACGGTGGTTTATGAAGAATCCATCGTCGTCCCGTCTGGAGGACACCAATGCCCGGAACTCGTTGTAAATTCTGCGAACGTGCTCAAGGGAGCAACGCTCCTCCAGCCAGCCTTTCCAATCCGCAGACAAGGTTCCGGTGGAGTATTGCGCACCCATTCCGTAGCGTGCTGCAAGCGCTCTCTACGGACAGTAGACACCGGCAGGTAGAAAGATGTGGTCTCTTTCATATGAAGTCCAGACTTGAAACGAACCGGTTGTGGGATGGCTCAGTTTACCCCCGTTTAGTGAGGATAACGCGGAGGGCATGCTCGCTCTCCCCTACTACTACGGATTAGAACGAAACGTCCGCGGGCGCTCTCTCCTGTACCAGAGTCCACAGGAGCAAGGGTCAGCGACCGCCTCGGTCTGGGTGTCTGGATCCTCTCCTGCTCTGGCGTGATCTCCGGGTTCGCGAGGCGTTTTCTAGTTCGGGAATCCTGGTAAAAAATCACCCTGCCTCTGATCCTCGCTGATCGCCCAGTCCCGACACCCACCAATTCCGCGGTACCGCTTGAGGAGAATGCCGTCGAAGCATACACAACATGCAAGGGGAGAGCTGGCGGCAATGGTGCGAAAGTAGTGTCACTGATGTGTGCATGATTTTTGCTCGTCGCGTGCCCCAACCGAGCACACTCCGCCTACATGTAAATACCATTCCGATATTTCAGGAACGATAACTTGTGCGTGGGGCAGGACCAGCAGTGGTGGGTTTGGAGGTATTTGCGTTTCCGGGTATTTCGTCGCACGTTTGTCCATCAATGACGAGGTCATGGCGAGGCTATGTTATGCGGAAGCGAAAACCGAGAAGGTGTGGTGCTTGTTATTCGGTTGCAGGAGAACTGCTGTGTACAGCAGTTTTTGGCGGGAAAAAATCAACCGTCAGCCAGCCTGCTCCCACATGATTTTGCGGTTTTTTCCTACACGTACAGCAGTAGTTTATCGTCCTTGGAAGGGCTGTGCCTGCATTTGCCGCGCATTGCAAGGAAAACTACACGACACACCTGACATATCACCCTCCATGAGAAAGTTTTGTTGTGGATTTTAATATTTTCGCTCTGGCCACACTGCGATTTATTTTACCTTATATCTGCAGGAGAGCGAGCCAAGCCAACCGCACCAGGTGTCTGTCAAGCAGGACTATGATCTCCGGGCCTGTCGGCACCACCAGGGCAATCTCGAGTCTGATATCGTCCTATCTGATGTGTTGAGCCCTACCACAAACATCATCGGTGAGTGTGTATGTAGTTCACACGACGACCCACAGATCTACAGTAGTCTACAGTACAAGTGGGTGACGTGTGTGCGTGTCTCGAACGATGAATGTGCTCGAAGTCGGCTGTAGAAATCTCGAGCCTAATATTGCCCTATCTGATATGTGTAGCCCAGCCACAAACACCATGTTGTGTAGTTCCTATGAAGACCCAGATGTGATCTGAACTACTAAGATGACATGATGGCATGCAATGTTTGTGTGTGTCACCCGAATGTTCTCGACGTCGGTTGCCGGTATCGTTACGACGTTATTGCACCTTTTCGTACTCGCTGGATATATATCGGCCCCTGGGTCACACGGGAGGGAGGCGACACAGATTTTGCCTTTTTCAGCCTTTTCCGGCAATGATGAGGACATATGTCTTCCCCGTAGTCAAGGAAATGGGGATCGATGACCGTCTCTTGTCGGATTGCCCGGCGCGCAGGTGGCGAAACTCTATGCCCATCCGACACTGCTGTCCAACGAATATCGCACGAAAATGTGGCAAACATGGTCGGCGAGCATGACCCAGCGCGCGGGAACTCAATAATCTCCCCGCCGTCCATCGCTGGTGTTGGCGACGAACTTGTTGCGGAGGGAAAAGATCAGGAAGAACGAACCTTAGTCTTGTCAGATCCACGCGGCGGCCCTCAAGCGAGAACGGTGCAGGTACCTCACGGCATCAAGCTAGGGCCACGTCGAGAAACGCCACCACCGGCTTCACCGCGTGTTGGCACCGGTTCGGACACCTTGTCATTGGCACCATTCCAGCCTCACGACCAGAACGAAGGCGAATCAACGCCCAAAATAAACCCGAGGGAGGACACACCAGATCCTTGCGCGGCTGGAATGCTGTCGAAATCACCGCCGAGAGAAGCGGATGCGACTTCCGAGTCGATTTCTGTTCCGCGTGTGCGTCCCACGAGCCCTGCCCCTGTGTCTGCATCTACTGCTGTTGTTCCGGTTACTGCCGTAGAGGGCCTGAGCGCTGTAGCTGCCTCTCCTTCTTGGTTTTCAGGACCTTGTTTCTCCCCGTCGTCAACTTTCTACGAAAAGTCTCCGCAATTTGTTGGCTACCGACAAGAGACGACTACGCCGGCGGCGCATGGCAGTCAACGTGCCCGGCGTAGTGGCCTGGGCGACGACGATAGTGGCGAGATCATGTCAATCCATGGTGTTGGGGCAGGGGAGGTGGATAAGGAGAATCGCCGCCATACCAACGGGCAACCTCGGACGCCCACAACGGACATTCTTCGCCGCCTGCTGTACGAGAACACCCCTGCATGGCACGCCACGGACTCCGTCGGCAAGAATGAGACGCGGGCCGGCGAGCAGGGTAGCAACGGCATGAACAGTTCCAGGCGAAGAAGTCGCCAAGGCCGGCGCTTGTTCGCTGAGGGTTCGACGGTGCTTCGCGCTTTCCCCACGGCTAGCGAAAACGTCGCGGAGGTGCGCCGAGGTCCCGCTTCTCTATTTTCCGACTCAGTTTGCAGGTGAGGGTAGCAGCTGTGGCACACGGAGCTGTAGCCGCGGAATGGCTGCAAACGAGAAAAGCAACACTGACGAAAAGTCAGCGAAGATGGAAGGCGCCTCGAAGCCAGCGGTGAAAAAAGTCAAAAGCAATGATAAGCATTGGGGTCACCAGCGGGGTCGGCGTTCGACAGGCGAGGTTGTTTTGGCGAGAGAGACTGCAGTTGGCGCGCAGAGAGTGCACACAGGAACGCCGCGCCCTTGGATCGTTCCTATTGGCAAGACAGACAGCCTGCCAGGTTGGGGCGTTACTCGGGGGCATACTTTCGAGGTTGATCCTGCTATAGGTGCCACACTGCATGCCAATGTGGAGGGTGCCCGCGACCTTATCACAAAGGAGGGGCCTGAAGTTCCACATGAAAAATTGGCACGGGCAACAGGTTCGAAATGGACTGCATAGTAAGAAGCGCCTGGGCAGCCGGGCTACACATAATGAATATTTTTCGCGCAACTGATGCCACGACTTTGAATGATCGTGACGTCCTCTCGGAAATCTAAGCCAGTGGGCAGAAGGGTCAACATGAAACGGACGCATCGCTGGGTGATGATGAAGTTCGGGCGCGAACCTGATACAAATTGGCCTAAAGAAAACAAGAGAGCAGGCAGTATCACGTCAACTATGGAAGGCACCGTAGGCCTCGTCGTATTTTGTGGTGTCTCAATAAAAAGAGCAGGGTGCTGCTGGTCCTTCACGCACCGGGGGGTCTATGTGCGGTAAACTGACACCGGCACCAACCGTAGTATGAATATGCTGAGACGCTTCCCCCGCGCGCCCGACGTCCAGTATATGTACGGCGGGCCACCAACATGGATCGGTTGTGCTATTCTTGTTCCCACAACAGATCCGGTGAACTCGCGTTCTGTGCTACAAACTGATATATAATGCACTCTACCAGTAGGCTCAAGCAATCGTTGGGTTCGAGTGTACATGTAGGGAAGAGAAGGAACCGCCGAATCGTTCTCGAAAAAAGAAATGTTCGCAGTAATCTAGCAAACAGAACGTACGTAGGCCCCAAGAAACCCAAGGATGAAGCACAGATGTGCGTTCTTGCTGATTCGAAAACGCCACTGACATGCACACACATGAAACGCGGGCAGCTACAGACCCACACAGGCTAGATAGAGAATGCATTTGTCTGAATTGTCGGCATCTGGAAGGGACAGACTGCCCGCCCCCTTGTGCACACATCAAAAATGCCGGGATGTTCTCGTTCGCTCCAACTCCGTAGGACGGCAAATTGATCGCTGCCGTGCACCAAACCGCAGTCAACACGCCGTTACCCGAATGGAGAATGCACCCTACCTGCCTGTACAATACGCGATAGCACAGGACAACGTGCCCTCACGCCCTAATGCGCCTCACCTGGAAATCCCTCTCCAAATACCATGTTCTTGTCTGGCGAAGGACAACATTTACAGGAAAAAAATGTACAAAGTGAGCTCTCCCATTGAGCCAAACAGCTGCTAGTGAGGAGCACACCACAACACTTACATCATCTTCAAGGAGGGAACGTCTGCGAAACAAGCCCAGTCGTTTCTTTCCCCCTCTCTGCGCGAGCGCACGCCGTCATACAAGGCGTGACACAGAGGGCTACCTGGCGTAGGGTAGCAGCGAGGTGCTTCCCACAGGTTTCATTCATACCACACCCTCTCGTCGCGTAATAAAGCAAGCGCCCCTCTCGTCTCTCAAGTGTTTCTCCAGTTTACGGAGCGCACGGCGTGAGTCGACTCCTCCAAAACACTTGCGCCTTCGGCCTCCTGTTCGGGTCGACCAGGGACACAACCTCCGAGGCATCCAAATGATGAAGGAAACGTGGGAAACTTCTATTACAGCCGTTGTCCCAAAACATGTTGTCTTTTCAGCGCCCCGCCGATCTCTCAGGTATAACAACAGGTCAGTACCGGGCTCTCACCACAGCAACCCCTACACATTCGAGAGAGATAAAGTGGGGGTACTATACACACGCTGCCGTGACAGCTGCAACTCCCCACATAGCCAAAAGGACACCATTCGGGCAAAAAGAAAAAGACACGAGCATGTCGGGTGCACAACGCAACGCCAGCAGTCTCTCCCAGATAAACACCTGCCACTCTCATGGTAGTGGGTACCACTCGTGGCCCACGTCGCGGGCCCCACGACCCCAAGCCAAGCGCGTATTTACTAAGCGCGTATTTACGTCGGTGCTAAGGCGCTGCTCTTGCGAATATAGAAGCCGACTACGCGACTAGCGTCTGCACGGTACTACTGCTGGGTACGGAGTAGGAGAAGGGGTCTCGCCAAAACATCGAAAATACCGCCCACAGTCACATCCCCATGGAAGACCTGCTGACGTCA